GTGTAAGCGGGCGACAGGTTCAATTTACGGAAAGGCCCTGGCAACTCCCTCCGCGTCGTGCGTCCGTGTTGGCGTAGCGAGGCGGCGTTGACGAATGAGCTGCTGACGCGTGTTCTGCGTGCGCCCTAACCGACGGCAACAATCGATTGGTGGAGGCTGCGGCGGGTGGACGGGGTGACGTCGAGGTACCGTTGGGATGCGCCAGTGGTGACTCATAGGGGTGGAAGAGCGCGGGGCCAAATGTTAATGGATTTGTGTGTGTGTGTGTGTGTGGATCGTTCGTTGCGTTCACAAGTCATGTAGTTTCATCTCGGCTGAAGATTTGTGAAATCTGCAGTAGTCTATGACTCTTCGAAACACCAGGTCCGATTCCTAGTGTCTCGTATCTCCTAGTTCGCCATGTCGCTGCTGACAGCTTTCGCAAAATGAGTTGCCCGGTTCTCATAAGCATCAAATTTTTTCTCCACTGCTCAGCTCAAAACGCGTTCTTCCAAAGCCCTATCTGGATTTTAGTCCTCACTTTTGCTTCCTTTGTTCGTTAGGCGCTTGTGTCGGCTAACCAGTTAGCAATGTAGACTAGTCGCCGTGCCATTTATGTGCAGTTTCGTGTTCAGACGTGTAGTTTTCCCTTGATTTATAAATGCATCGTTTGCCTATTTCAGTGGTTCTGCTTTTTACCTATTTATAAATACCGCTGTGTAGTCACATGGGCCCTTGTTCCCTCGCTTGCACACTTGCACCATTGCTTGAACCTAAATTTACACGTGAACACTCTCAGCCAACAAGCCTACTACACGGTGCATCTCGTTGTCAAATTGGACTGAATGAGAATCTACCTCAAATTTGATAACTAGACGTCAATTTTATACTGTTCTACCAGTAGAGTCGAACCACATCACAGAATATAATGCAAAAACTGGTGTTGTCACACGAAACTGCATGGTTCATTGTATATGAATGATTTTTGGGTGAAACTTTTCCCATTTAGCTAGAAGTCATACTTGTCGAATTGAAATAAGGCCAAGGAGATTAGCTACTTCTAATTAATACACGTGAATGCCATTCGGATTGATAAAATAAGTAATCTAAAGGTTATCACTTGAATTTTATGCAGGGTGGCGTGGTGCTTCGTGTCTATATATTTAAAAATTGAGTGCATCTGACTTAGATTCTTGGACTGCGGATTGTGTACCAGGTTCCAAGCCATTCTCAAGCTTTTTAAAAAACGGTATGAGGTCCAGGCTCACCCGATCTACATTCTGCTCCTAAAATAATCATAAATTTGCCGAAATTAACCCATTTATAAATAAACTCGCGATTGCTTTATTCACACACATTTGACAACTCTAATCTTTAATTTTCCAAACGGGTTTCAAGCGTAGTATTAGCATCCCCACGGTGTCATAATTCGCTTGGTGATATTATTTAAAAAGTGGTAAAACTAGATCTCTTCCAAATCAGCCTGTCTATTTTAAATATAAGTATGTCTAATATTTTATCGAAGACTTCCGAGACACTGTGCAAGGCAATTAAATTTAAATCAAGCGATTTTCTCAATATAAGTCAATGCGCCTGAATTTTTAGTGAGCCTGCAATTTTTGCCTCGTTTGGACAATAAAAGAAAAGTGTGGCATTTTCCCGTGGAAATGAATTTTTCCTTGATTTACTGTCACAGATAAATTTAATTTTAATAAATATATTTATCTAGTGCTGAGAAGCATTATTTGTTAAATGGTTTTAAAAAATTCTTACCAAGCATGAATGGATCTGCAATTCACCAAATTATGAAATTTTTGGCAAATGAAAATGAATCTCTTTCAGAATTTCTAAAATTTAAAAAAAAAAACAATTTTAACCTTCAAATGTAGCAATGATGTAAACCCACCATGATTAATAGCAATTATAACTACTCTCCGATATTTGTGAATGTTTCCTCAATGGACACATAGTTTACAGCAGTATTTTCTAATTTATATATGTATATATCCGTTTAGGTATTTTATCTTTTTTTAAGTCTTAAAGGTGGAAGCATGCTTTTTCAGGAACATTACATTAAATGGAAATATGGTTTTAATCTTGCCAATATTTCGGCCCCCACCCTCAATCTTTTCGAATCAGCCAATGGATGTGCGGGCGTTGTTAAAGGCATCGAAAAGCAATTCTAAAAGGATAGATCACCCTCACATAAAGTAAGTTTGGATATACTTCTTTAGACTTGAAGGTATAATGCTTTAGGAAAAATATCGTGCATCGTTTGTGGTGTTCCAATAAAATCAGAGATAACGTGGAAGGCTCACATTTTGAGTAAAAGTCATAAGGAGGTAACCTTTATAATACTGCTTGAGACTTTTAGAATGCTGCTCGTGGTACCGATTCTCTTAAGCGAATACAGACGCTGAATAAGCAGGATGCACCTCCTGCCAAGGTATCAATTTTTCCTTGATTGTAACACGTCTCTTCGTTTATTATAGCAACCTAAACTCTCTACGGAGCCACAAACCAAAACTTCTGAACCTGTTCCACATATAAAACCTGTTGTGGACCCTCCTGATACCCCAAAAGATCCCCCAAAGGCTGAACCCGAGGTCCAAAATGGGGTACTGCCTGAAGGCTTCTTTGACGATGCTCGCCGTGATGCACAAGCCCGAAATGTCCCCTTCAAGGATAAAATGGACGCTGAAATGGAGACCTTTTTGAAAGAGCTTGGATCCCTAAACGAAGTGGGTGTTGTGTTTGTTAGCTCCTTTTAAATGCCTAGTCGTGACTAATCTTATCTTTTCAGGAATCAGAGAAAATCCTTGAAAAAGACAATGAAGAAATGGTTACTTCTAGGAACCTGGCGGAGTTGGACAAACAGATGTGAGTTTGCCTGTTAATTTAATGAACCTGTCAGAATTCTTTACCAGTTCTGCAATTCTCCACTTTTCTAAGTTGATTTTTTACGTGGAGTTGTACTGGAAGAGATTAGTGGTATTTATACAATTTCTCTGCCAATGCAAAATCATCATGTGTGCGCGATGACAATGCGGTTCTTTCACTCTGTTCAGTAGGCTGTCTTTTCGCGTCATTCCTGATGTGTGTAATTTTGTCAAATGTCTTGCCACCAGTGTCAGTCAGTTCCAGAGCCGTCTTCACTTGCAAAAGGCAACCTCCTTCAACATTTCTGGAAAACTCGACAGTTTGAATGATTTCCGTGGCGTCAAACAGCTGACAACTTCTTAAATTATTAGTTTACTTGCACAAGCATGAATATTACCGTCTGCTATTGCTGTATTAAAACATGTATCACACTCAGCTTATTCGACGTGCCCATTTAAATCGTACTGGCAACCTCGTAATAGTTTCGATTAGGTGCAAACCCATTTTGTTCTTGAAAATTGCTTATGCGCTGCCTACAATGTGTGCATATTAATCGCTGGCTTCCACAATGTTGATATTCGCTCCTGAGGCCTTTTTAAATCGAAGTTTTGACAAATCTAGCGTAAACCGAACCCATAATTTGTCCTTTAAAAACCTACTACTTGTGGGATTGTCAAAGATGACATTTGTGATGAGTGTAATGAGTCTGTGGCTCTTTGTTCTCTAACCCTTGACATTGGCTCATTGACCTCCATTTTTTTTCAAATTTTCGCGAAATGCACGCATTGTTTAAATCGATGAGCAGGAGATCAGTTGAACTCACATTCACATAAATTTACTTGCGTAGGACTCCATGATTGTACCTGTATTGTGAACTGTAGATCCTAAGGAGGTTAAATTAACCGATATAATGATGTACCTTGATAGTCACGCGACCCCCCCCCTAACCTTTTAATAGTTTTAATTGGGTGCTGCTAATGCACACGTGCTTCCACTAAAATAATGTATATAAGTAAGGTTATAGATTTGCTGCTGTCGCATATACTACTGACAAATATTAGTAGTAAATGTGTTTTGAGCTGCCCAGTTTCTGTCGAGATTGTTTTGGATTGCTCCTGTCGGTGCTTGTTATCGTATCAAGCCCTTTCAATCGGCTTCTTTGCATCCGATTAGTGTACTTTTAAACTGTTTACCGATTGGTGTTTTGGTAGTGCGCCGCTCTGATGCATGTGCTGTACGTCCTGTCTTTTTTTGATACGCATCTCACACCCCTACCTCTTTTCCTCTCTATCTCTCTCTCTTCAACTTAGTTCTATGTGGGAAAAGGTCCGCAAGTTGGAGCAACAGAAGGACGTTAGTATGGCCCACAAAAAGACTTCAGGTGTTCCTAAGTCTGAACAAAAAGTTTCCATCAAAAAGGAGGAAGAAGATGATGACGAAGATTCCGATATCGATGAAGACGAGTTGAACGGTTTCCGGTTCAAAGCTGGCGTTCGGTAGTCATGGTGGACACGATCATGTACGACGTGTGGTAACGACGTTTGGTTCAATCCGTGACCAAGTGCTAGATGTTGACGAACATTCACGAGTCCATTTTGTTTTGTAACTTTACGGATAATCATGGAATCGCAGATTAAAGATTTTGTGTAATTTGTCGGAGGCAGGAGGAGTTCGTTTTGCTTGTTTAAACTGAATCGGGGGAGAAGCGAATGTTCCGAGATCCACGACAAATGCTTCTATGAATTAGTCTACAATCTCCCGTCTTACGGAGGTCTTTTCCTCACCCAATCTCTTTGCAGCACCTCAGAAAATCGATAGTGAGTCCGTGTTGGGATTCGCGACTAATGGTCTTTGTGAAATTAGTTTTCAACGCGTCTTCTAGTGGAAATCTTTGTCTCACCCACTCCCCTTGTTCTGAACTGTTTTTTCTAAAGCACACACGAAACAAAAGCGAAGGGGTTTGTGGTTGAGTAGTAAGAACAGGAACAGTGGTTTGAAAGTGTTTGTGTGATCTCTTGCGACATTTTCTATGTGGTTCAACGACAAATGACGCTTACGAGGGTTCCGTGGCTGTCGTGAAGCGAGGATCCGCCAATTGTTTAGACTTCGCTTCTCTCGATTCCATTAAATCGATGCGGATTGATTTGGCTGCACTCTAGTTCTGATAATTGTATTGATTGGTTCATTTGGGTTGTTCAGTATTGGTGAATTCAAGGTCAGGTCACATTCGACGAAACGGACCAATCGTAGCTTAAGGTCCAGCTACCCTAGCGAGACGATTGGACACATTGAGTTTAATTATCAGCCCTCGCTTTACTATGGCTACCCATGTCTGCACAAAAGCAAACATGCTAGTAGACTGAACTTGTCGAAGTGCACAAGCCGCAAATTGTCGTTGTGGAAGCTGTTCCACAAGATGCAGCTTCAAGGCACATTCAACCATAAGCGTATTTGGACGCTGAAGGTTCAAGTGTCTGCTACAATGACCAGAATTAAATGTAGTAATATTTTCGCAACGGTCACCAACGGATGAACCTCAGTTGAGCGCTTTGGTGAAGGGATGCATCGCTCTGAATTCTGCATTCTACTTAATCAAGAGGAATGTTTGTCTAGTAGTGAGATGCATCCAAGCTAAGACAAGATGGCAGGACTAAAGGCAGGCGCATTGGTTGTAGTCATGCCCTCGCGGCCTGCTCCAGCAGACATTGTCTTAAATACAAGTTCTTATCGACCCACAGGGTACACGCACAGGGACAGTTTGATTCAGGGGCGAGTAACCTAAGGGGTTGGGCGATTTCAGGTCGGTGTCGACGTATTTTGACAATTTCGGTCAACCGTTGACAAGCATGTGAAGAATCTGACGCTGCAAGGAGTGGTAACTAGTCCACTACCACAAACTGCACGCTTAGATAAACTGGTGCCAGCCTGGTGAGGTGGCTTACCAACGACAAGAGCACCGCCCAGTCAAGTGCATCTGTGATGCGGAATGAAATATCGTTGGTTTGGCTGATCTTCCCACCCCCCAACTAAGCCATCCCTTCGCAAATAGGAGGGGTGTGGAGGTAGCGACTGGAGGGCCTTCACACATTCGCACACCTCGGTACTACGATCACGCTAACCCTCGTGATGACCTGCGTGCTGCCCGTCTGTTTACGCCCAGTGCGGTTGTTGTGCGCGAGATTACACAACTGAATCGTGCCATCGAAAGTGTTCTAAAATTCCAATGCAAAGACTTGTTGGCGCTTGTTTTTCGTGGTGTGTTCTGCCACGCACACACCAATGCACCTTCCAGATCGTGTTTAAAATTTGGTTCAACTCAGACCACTCCAATCATCTCTGCAGCAAAACCGTGTCGGATAGGCAGTTGAGCAGACTGCTCTCAATCTGCCCCTTTTTGTACGTTTAAATTATGTACCTGTTAGTGGCTTAGCAAACTTGGGTGCATATTTCTGATGTGATGGAACGGACCTTGTTACCGAAGAAACGGCTGTTCCGACGTCATCGAGTTCAATGATCAGCGAAGCACCCAAAGAATCATCGACTACGCTGCCACACGCTGACTCATCTAATCTATTGATTTTTCTTTTAAATTTGCCTTTAAACTCGTTGAAGTTTGGCGGTTGCGAGTGCATTTAAAATGAATTAATTTGACCTCAAAGCTAATGGACTTGAATTGTGTTGTTTTGTTAATAATTTAAGCATCTTTTCACTCCATTTTAACGGAAAACTTCAAGTGGAAGGCGCAGAGAACTACTATGATGTCATCATAAAAACCTTTACGGCATGAATCTGTAAAATCACTCAGGGTTGATTAGTGTGTTTGGTATCGGTTAAACCTTGATATTCAAACACGTGGACAGGTCTGTGGGAGATGAGTTATGAGGTCTCAATGACCAACCGTCCTCTACTTACAGAACATGTGAATCGAGATGCCCAGCTAAAATGTGTGATCTTGTTACACAAAGTTAGACTCTGTTTTAATACATCAAAAGCAATCCATCGATCTCCAGGATTAAGACGTATTCTAAGCTTAAGTACATTCCGACCAATGATTTACTTGATTTCGGTCCAATTTGCAACCCTATATTTAAATTCGCGCTCCCTAACAACTGGTGGTGGCGCTGTGTTTAAAACAACCGGCTAAATTTTACTGCAACCAATCGATTGTTGTGATCGATTCCTACTCCAGTTTCTTCCCAGTATTACCATGACGACTGGTGGTTATCGGTGTCAGTGCGAAATGCCAAACACCTGGATACCCGATTAGCATCCAAAGATCGTTATTTTTTAAAAAAATTGATTTAACCAGTACGTCGGCATGCCGTGACGCCTACTTTGCGGGGGATTGAATGGGGCTGGAGGAAATTGGAGATGTCGAAATCCTCCTAGCGAGAAATGCAGGTGCATGCCTGTTTGGATTACCTTTAGAACCTAGCATCGTGATTACCTTTGGTCCGTCACGCGCCTCATGCATGTAGGAACCCTGCTGTGTGCTGTTTGACCCGCGTTTTTTTTCACCCACTGATTATCTGAATGTATTTACCTCGAATGAATTTTGAAGCTTTCTACGAAATTCCTGACACCTGTTGCATGAGTATTAGGTCAAAAGTGTGTTGAACATCGGTTTAGGCAAATCTCGTTGCTTTAATTAATAAGTACAATAAGAAGAGCCCCGACTACCTCTTGTTTGTTGACGTTTATTGTCACTCCGGGCCACGCTTACTATCTCTTTGATTCAAATTACATTAAATTTTTTGGCAAAAATAGATCTATTCTTGTATAGGATGCATTATGTGACAAAAATGTGACTTTTGGTCTACAAATGGGTTTCCAGGGTGGAATCATGTGAACTGCCATAAAACTAGTGCGTGGTAATGCAACTCCGAAGTGACTTATCTCACATGCCTCAGCATTCGATCTAAACATGTGTGTTTGAGCGTTTAAGCCTTACCACTTAACACACCAACAGTGCTGCTGCCAGAGCAACCCAACATAACTTTTAGCACCAGCGCTCAGGCTGTATGAGTTGTCGCAAATTGTGAAATTTGCCTCGTCATAGTGATCTGGAATGCGGACATTTGTGCCTAGGTTGGCCCCATACCAACTGGGACTCGAACCGCAGCCTCTAGGTGTGTCAAGCTCGCACGACACCACAATACCGTCACCAGGACGCGTCTCAGCCAGCAGTTGGTCGTAATTAAGGCCGGGGGGGGGAGAGCAAGATTTGGATTGTTTAGCTGTGACAAAAAGCGCCTTGTCGGCTTCGCGCACATGTGCCACAATGACTTGTCGTCGTCACCAGTCAGCAAGAAACGCACGCTCACACGCACACAGCCAGTCGATTCGTGTGGAGGCCGACATCGACAGTTTGTTACACTCGTTCCGATTTGACGCCTGGTGTGCTGACGCAAGCTAGCCGCATTTGCTACACACTCTCGGCTAAGTGGAACACGTAGCCTACACCAGTCACTGCATTTTGGCTAATCAGAGTGTGCAGTAAAACAAAAACGCGCGTTTTCTTAAGTTAAGCGGTCTTTTGATTGACGTCGCATGGAGTTCCAGTGAGATTCTTGCATCTTGCATTAACACGGAAAATCGCGCCACCTCACCGCTGGTTAGTAGAGACATGGATCTGTGCTTTGCCAGGAACACAAATTTGATGCCTCACGTTTGGTAAAAATTTGGTTGAGCATCGAATCATGTACTTTTGATTCAGTCTCAAAATAGGACATAAATGCGCAGAAAAGTGGAGTTAAATGTGTACAATAAGGGTGGAAGTGCATCACCGGCACTTCTCCCCTGAGGAGTGGACAAGTTCCCGCAAGCTGATTGGTCCAAACTGGTGGAAATGTCGTCTTTCGATTGGCTGAAACAATTCGGCCTCGCGGTGGGCGCGCGCGGCGCTTGGGATGAGATCCGCCAATGCAAGGAAGCGTCCACCGTCGCGGACGAAGCTGCTGAGTAGGTCGGTGTGTGCCTCTCGCCACCCTCGTCCCTCGGATGGGATTATTAAGGTTCCGTCCTGAAAAGAAATCAAGGAGGGTAATTTAAAATCGTGATAAACACACGACTAATCACTAGATTGGTGGATTAGTCAAGATTCGATAGAGGTGACATGAAACGCAACTTTGATGGGAAGCTCAGACATTCTAGTACACCTGATTTGTGGTTGTGTGGGTACAGATGAGTCGCTAGTTGCGGGAGTCTGTAGAAACAGCGATACACACCTTTTCAAGGAGGTGGCGGATCCGACGGACTCTTCGAATCGTGGGACAGAAGTCAATCGCCAGACCTATCACAAACTCGTCGTAGTGCCTTTTAACGCGCTCCACCAAGTACTCCTCGTAAACAGCCTCGTTCCATTCAACGATCTGGGGTTTCGAGGGCTCAAGGATTTCAGGGGAGAACGGTGAGATCTAGTAAGTAAGATCAAAACAAAACTAAGAGAGAATTCACGACTCTGAAGACTTCTTTTTTTCGGTAAATCGAATTCGAATTTAACGTGAATCGGGTCTACGATCCGTTTACTTGAGAGAAAACAACAAAGCTGAACAACGCCCCAAAACCGTGTGCACTTTACTAGCAGGTGTGGTCAAATTGCATTAAAAAAATAACTAGGAGTTTACGCTTGGGCCCACTCGCAGGTACCGACATTCGAAACTAAGACGTCAACCAGTGGCGTTGTGTTTAGAAACAAAGAGAATCAAGACCTTGATGGATGGGCTCGTGCCGACCGAACCACGTGGTGTTTCGTGGTTAGGTGGCCGCAAACGGACCACTTATGAATACGACGGAGACTTTGCGCGTATCACCGCACTCCTCTACTCTGCACTTCAGCAGGCTACGAATTTCCGAAGACATTGTTAACTTCAATTACTGGTGATGATAAATTTATTCTGGCTAGCCCTCGACTGCCTAATTTAAGTCTAGGACATTTAAACCAGATCGTCAAGAATATTATGCCTGTTTTGGTTTCAGGCATTCTATTTAAAACTCCAGAGATCGGTACTCACGTCTTCGGTTGCAACGATGACCCTGGTGAGAATGGAGGGGTCGCCATTAACTGCGGTTGTGAGAGCGTTGATGCAACAACGCACATCATTAGCTTGACCGCAGAGAAGAACACGGTTTTTGGAGGCGTCAGGAGGAGATTCTGAAAGTAAGATGATCAGTTGTCAAGGCACCATAGTTAAAAACACCGCTCAACATGACCTATTTCTCTATCTGCATGAAATAAGGGATTGAAAAACTTCTTCGCAACGGAAAAAACCCGCTAACTGCCTTCGAAAATAGCTACACCAGCAAACTTTGACTCGGAATCAGGTTGCAAAAGTGACAAGGCGGAGGATGGATTGTTTTGTAGATCTGGTAATATGTTGCCATGGTAACGTTAAATTCGGTTTAAGAAATCAAAACAGCGCTATTCGTGCTTCACAGGTTGAAAATGACTTGGCAAAATACGATGTTCCCTTACCTGGTTCGGAGTTGTTCAAATCGTCCTTTGACGAGGAGGATGTGGTGTCTAAGGGTAAAAAATTGAGACGTCAAAAGTGTCACTTCAAAAATGCAACGAAATCCCTTTTTTTCTCAAATTACCTTGTCTGAACGAAGTTAAGCACTTCAAAATCTCCTGCATTATGAAGGTTAGTTCATCCGAAGGGTGGATGATGTCCTCAACGCGGTACTGCTCCTCAAAGCTCATCAGCAGGCACGTTTGGTAGATAAATATGAGGGGACAGCGCCTGCCAGTCCGTTTATATATGCATGAGTTCGATTCACCGACTGACCACCAATAGGATTAGGGCGTAGTTCTAGTGCACCGACTCACTGCACACCTGCCACTACTGATTGGATGACGCAATGAATCACGAGACATGGGCGCCAGCGCATGACCTTGAGGCCAGCACCAATCGCGAGGGGGAAGTGTAGCACGCACGCGCACACGCACAATCGTGGACGTCATTACCTTCGCGCGTGCCTGCAGTGTGCAAGGTCATTCAACTGAGGAGTGAATCTTCAAGCTCAGGGGGGTTTCTACAACGATGTTCGGGTCTGTCAACAAGTGTCCCTTGGTTACATTTCGATGTTCGCTTGACGAGCCACACGCCTGTCATGCGTAGATGCGTGATCGGCTGCCAATGCATTGCGGTAGTCATTTTTAAGTGCGTGACAGCAATGCTTTGCAACAAAACACCTCATCACGCAACTGGAACGTCATGGCCTGTGAGCGTGTCAACCGTGAATGAAAATATTCCATTGGATGTTACTTGTTTTTGTTCTAGTGGACGCAAAGTCATCCACGCTATTTCACATGTCACTAGTTGATCTCCAGGACGGCGAAATTGCATAAGTCAATTTTCTTGAGGCTGCCTTCAATCTGTATGAGCTAAACCAACTACCAACCACACCAGCACTTCGCCATCATTCGCTGATTTGAGATCCACTAATCTACACTGAAGTATTCTTTTCCCACCAGTCACAAGTTATAGCCAAAAGGTTCGAAGACTTTAAGATGCAGCTGGAGATGGATCCCACGTTTACGAAGAATTGCGCAATTAACCTAGATGTTTTGTTGACGGGCTGTGACAAATTATACCTGGGAAAAGTGATTTATGACTGTCAGGTGTTCTCATGTCGTGACACCGGGGTTTGCGTACCTCGTTTCCAACCACCACGTACCCTAGAAACAAAGAACAAAGCCTCACTCGACTACTAGCGTCTGTGGCTACTCCAGTGTGCCCCAAACGCTGCAAACGTGGGTCTTTTCGCCATCAAATCGAGCCACGTTCCACGTCGAAACGCCAGCGCCTCCACACATCTCAATAATGGCGGCACTTTGTAGTTTGTGTTAAGGCTTAAATGGGTGTGACCAGCATACATTGGTGGTGCACCGTCACATGGGTGTGTAGCATTTCGTAAATATTGATCAAACGTTCAAGGTCCCGGTTAGTTAAATTGTTCAGCTTTCATGTGGTAAGTACTTGTATCGGTCTTGCGCACTTGCGTTATTGTCTGCATGAAGGGGTGACGCAATTCGTTGGATTAGCACGTGAAATCCTGCATGGTAGGTACCAAAAATTATTTTTGAACTAGCAGTGGGGTGTGGGAATAAGGATACTTTTGACGATGTTTGCAAACGATTGAGATGGCAATTCAAAAAACGCCAAGTTCTTCTCTTTGGTTGGTGAAATTACCTCACCAAAGCGCGGACAAACAGCGGTCGTGACAGTACCCTTCATGAGTAATCCCAAGAATTGTCCAATCAAGACCAGCCTCTAGGGGACACCTCAAGGTCACAACAATGTCTATGTTAGCTAAATAGTCAACAGTGAAGCGAGACAAGAGAACACACAAACTGATATTTGCTGTAGATACTATATCTGCCTTTGCTTTGAGAGAACTTCTGACCTGTAAACCTCACAGTTTTGGGCCGACTACCCTATCTCAATCGAGGTACCATGAAAAATTACATACTCTGAGAACTCATGAACCATTTAAAAGGTATTTAAATTAGAAAAAATCAATGAAGGACCTCCAATCTACCTTTTTCCGCACTTCCCACACTTGTACCAATGATTTTAACTGTTGGATTACAAGCCAAAGATATTGTATTCCTGACAAAAATTGTGAAAAACCTTAGATGAAAACCGACAAATCACAAAAAAATTGATGTAGTAAATTGGTAATCTGAGGAGATCAGAGTTATTGAGGCTGGATATTCGTTTAGCCATAATTTGTCCGAGGTAATGCCTTTGCCGAGATTACTTAGTTAAGTTCCTGAGCAATTATTGAAATGAGGACAAATAGCTGTGAAGAAAACCGGCGTGAGGTCAGAAGACTAAATTATGGGATCTTATTGGTGATTCTTGGTGTTTTATTCAGTTTTTACACTGAATTCTTCATGCTGTGGATTCAATGAGAGTTAAAAATCATCAAATTCGTCAAATCGCCAGTGATTGTAAAATGTTCCACTCGGTTTTTTCAATTAAAATAAATTTTTTGAGGAAACCCACTTGAAGGAAGTTCTGACGTAAGCACCGCGGAAAATATACTTAATTACAGTGTGGTGTGTCTTGACGCTAATTTAACTATATTTGTTTAGTTGTGACAAGTGCCAACAGAATCCAGAAGTCACAAAGTCGTAAGAGTGGCGAAAATGACGCGATGGGCTGTTGGAAAATCGTGTCAAGGACGACGAGGACCAATCAACTGTGAGCACACTGTTGGGAGACCACATGTATGCATTACCAGAGAATGTAGAAGGCATGCATTAGATCACAAAGCTTCAGCCGCCGAGTGCGTGCAACCGGTAATTTCATGTGATTGAAGCTACCTTGGAAGCAAATCGACTTCAGGTCGATCGCATGACGAAATTGAGGACATGATGCCAAGAAAGTGTTAATCACTCAAATGGCTTGCAAAAATGGCCACAGAACCAATAAATTTCAGCAGAAAATCTGAGGCGATTTCGCCAAAATACTATTTAAACTTGCGTTTTCGAGTATAAGACAATATTTCATCGTCCACCAGTTGTGTATCGATTTTTTTGCCGCACTGATTTGGTTACTAAATTTACCCAAGTCGCTTCAATCGATCGTTGGGCCTTATAGCACTTGAACAGAACTCACAACCGACGCAGTGCAATTAGCAAATACGAAAAACACCTAGACTTTTAATTTTAATTTTTTTGTTTACCTAAAGGTGCCCTGGGAAGCTTCTTAACTATTTCTACAAAAGTAATGGTCCCTTTTGTAACGTTAACCCTTGGGAAAGACCTAAGTGCATTTTAGTGATCACAGTGTGGGAAATAACTGCTTTGATTGGAGTTAATGAGTTTACGCAATCAGGCTTTCACATCGTGTTTGCAAGCTCTTTTACATTCCCTCTTTGCGTGTCAGTCTGAGTTTAGATTGATTTAAGAGTGATTTTTTGAAATCCAGCTGCGTATACTGGCGCTTTACCTAGATGCGTATGAAAACCTAGGTAGTCCTTTTCAGTTTAGGCATAAAAAATGATTTAGTGGAACCAACCCTGAACTTCACGATAGGGTAGACTTGAAATTCACCATTTTAGTTTGCCTCGAAATAGGTTTTGCGCCCCTGTGTGCTATTTTGAGTTACAGCCGTCAATTCCCTCTTTGTTTCCATGCCCTTAGCTGATGTTTGCCTTACCCTTCAAGGTTATGACAATCATTTCTTTGATTGGCAGCTCAAACTAGCTTATTTTTGGTCCACGTTGATGACCAATCCGTGATCGACATTTTGCCCTTGTTATGGTTGTATTGGATCTCGATTATGATAATATTGTTATGTAAGATTTCCAGATACGTGTGAATCGAGTTGAAGAGCAAAACGGCTTCCTCAACTCCCCAATTTTTCATGTTCTCCAGAACTTAATTTCCTTTTTAAAGAAACCAAATGTTTCGATACTTCTGTGCCACATTGTTGGATCCATGCTGCGTGATTGCGATGGAGATTTTACTGATGATGACGTAGGGGTCTCGACGTCTTAGTATGGGAGCGTGGAGTAGTTGGCACACGAGTCCAGTCACCTCACTCTCACTATCATTCAAGCTACTTTTCTAAAAGCACCATAGCAACTGACTGGAAAACGAAAAATCTTGCGTCAAGATACGAAATATCACTGATTGCTGACGAAACTTAACTTAACATCTCTTAACAATATGTGTGCCTAAAATGTACAAATGTAACGAGTGTTACAGTCACCAAATGGAATTAAAAGGAGATCGATGAACCAAATCGTTAAATCAAGAGTCGGAATAAAGCGTTCTCAGCTTTAAAAGTGGGGAAATCGGGACAATGCCGTAATGGCTGTGTTATTTGCCTTTTGATCGTAGAGTACTCCGGTCTTTGCAAAAAATTTGAGAAAGACGCCATTAAGTAAGTGAAGACAATTTCACTCGGCAGTCTAGACTACCAACGACGCACTAATTAAATCATGTTTCTATTTACTGCGGAACAATTTATGTGGTAGCTGTAAACGCGTGTGTGTGTGCGTACCTGCACCAGCCAACATGGCGATTTAAAGACTGAAGACGTTCTCTTGATTTACGTCCAGATTCAGACAAGGATACATTTGTTTAATTATCGTGTGACCGTCTACGTGTGTGTGTGCACGTCTGCGTCAATTGCCGGATACCTCGGACACGTGGAACAGAATTTTGTGTGGCTCCGATACGCCCTGATTTAAGCGTCATTCTCAATATGCGGAGACAATGCTCTGTACCAAGTACTTCACTCACATTTGGAAGGAGGTAGCTGTGATCGCAGCTAATTAGACCGGAAGTTAATTGACTGCCTCGATTCCTTGTAGTTCGTTTGTTTAACTCCAGCACCGTCAGCACTGAAGCTTCTACCACAAGAGTCGAAAATTTTCGAGGTTGCGAAGCTGAAAAAAATAACAATGAAATTTGAATTAAAGATGTGTGGGCATCGAGAAAGTGGATATGGCCCTTGGTTTGCTATTACGAGTGTTCTTCGCTCACTGAAATGGCAAATTTTCATTGCCTGTTCACTCGCTTGCTAAGTGGAGTTTGGACGCTTATAATTAAGCCCTTTTTTCAGTATGTTGCGGTTCCACCTAGTGATTTGTCTATTTCAACCTCCACTCCGTTCTGCCTTCCTACAAGCAATGCTGCTGAACCTCTCAATTCCCAAGTGGATGATCCATTTAACACCGAAACCACGATGACCTATGTTTATTTACAAACAGGTCTGCAACACATTTCAGGACAGTTATCAATTTGGTTTAAAGGTGTTAATGTGTTTAGCTATTAACGTTGCACCCTTGTGGAGACGCACATGCATCGTCAGAGGTAACGCCTAGACTGGACTCAAGGGTATACATCGATGCGCTAAATGAAGACTTTGAAACCTGCTGAGGTCAATTTTTACAGGAGATGAAAACACCTTTTCAACTGAAACAGAAATCTCTCCGGTGTAAGTTAAAACCCCGCACACCAACTTTTGGATTGATGTTTGAATTCCAGGGAATTCCCCATTGCCTTTCCATTTATACACTTCAACGACATTGCCCTCTCTGATAGCCAATCACATCGTTTCGGCAACCAAGAATGTTGGTGGATTTTCCGTACTTTGATTCCTTTTTATTCTTTAGACTGTCAGTAACGCTCTTTGCAATCGTGTATGTCAATGACGCACATTACCGCACAAAATGAAGTGATTTCGTTGCCGAATAAACGGCTTCGGTGGACACCGGTAAACAATCGAATCTAAAATTGTCTACTGCCGACAGCTACCACATCGTAGGATCTCGCGTACTGACTGTTGGTCAGTAGCTCAGAGTTGCTGCTTAAATCCACTCGAATTAAAAAAACAGATTTCAAATAAAAACCCAATAAGGATGCGAATGTAGCAATATGCCTCTGCGTTGTCGATCCAGCTGCATTAAAATCATGGAATCCAACTGCAACTCAACTAGGTAGACAAGCTAAAAGAACATGCCTTGTAGTTAGTACGTCCTAGTCATTGCAGAAATATCAACCAATCAAATTCGTCGATCACAAACTCGTAGCCAATGAAATTAACACTCGTGACAATCGATCGCCTCCACGATGGATGGGTGCGCCAATCGATAGGCAACACAAGACAAACTTGCCTGGATTAACGACGATAACTTGTGAAGTGTTTGTCGTCTATACACTTTCCAAAAATTATGATTTCTCGCGTTTCAATGCCAAAAAAACCCGTGAGATGTGTAAGAAGTGCACACTGGTTTACACGCTTTGAATTGTTGCATCAGGAAAGCTGTATTCTTGCAAAGAAACTGCTTCATTGACATGAAAAGATGATGAATCGGCAGAACAGTCCTTGGAGAATGTTTCTGATGCCAAGAAGTTTTTTTTTTTCACCAAGAAGGAGAATGACACCAGCTTTGGACCTTTTGAGAGGACAGTAGAAAACAGTTATGTGCAAGATTATATCTAGAAGTAATTACTTCATAGGGATTCAGCACATCAGGCGTGATGGTTCCTAGAAAATCCCACCATACGGGCGATATCCGACTTTTTAAGAGAATTGATCAACTTTGAGTGGCATTTGCGTAGCTAAATAGTTGATTCTAACACTGTAGACCACGAGCTTTCCAACTTTGTCGCTACAGAGTAAACTGATTAAATTGGATAGGCTTCACTTTTAGGCCTGTCGAAATGAAAGCATCAACACAAAATGTTTTCATCAAAAAGGTTGAAAAAAGCGTTCTTGTGTGTAAAAACTTAATTTTTATAGGTCGGCACCAAAAAAAGTACACAAAACTGATGGCGTGTTAGTGACGCTGCAGTCCTCTGTCGAAAATCTCTGAGCGTTGATTACAGAAAATGAGCTCGTTTTGATGGCTTGGTTTTGCTTTATTTACTGTCTTTTTTAAATATTCTCAAAGTGCCAGGAAAATGTCAATAAATTTACTAATGCAAATGATTTGGGTAAATAAATTGCATGAAAGAGTACAAAGTTTTAGTTTCAGATAGTGATTCCTATTGTATATTTGGGAGTGCATTTCTACTGGCTAAAAGTGAGGTGGATTTAAACACGTGCGAATGAGCCAATGAACGGCCAAGGAGTGAGCGGGATGCATGAACGAAAAATCTGATTGGAGGAAATAAATGATGCGATATTTAAAGTTAAGGCGAATTGCGTGGTACTATCACGTCAGTGTACGCAAATTTATCTCTTCATGGTAATGCCCCTGTTTACGACATTCGGTCAGGCATTACTGATTGTCAGCCTCAAATGTGCCTACATTCAAATCCCCAAATTTACTAACACAAACCTTTTTACTTGAATGATTGTTTCAAATTTTCCCAATCTGAATAAGTCGTTCTTTCAACAACCCCACTTTGTACAAGACTGGTTTCCGGAGAAATTCGCATACTCAAAGTCTAGCATTGCCATACCCTTCACCACGCGAATGCTGACTTACTTCGACCATCTGGACAATCTTTTTGGTTGCAAAAGTACCTACAAATTCAAGCGATATTCAGACTGCCTAATTTAGTCATTAAATATCCGTTTAATTTGCAAAATGTGAGTTGATTTGCTTTAACCTTGTCTACAAAATTCCAACTAAGGACCGTCTTCTTCAGGAAGCTGATCTCGTCATGCATAGTTACAAGGTTAAGACTATTTTTTTGCGTTCGGACACTACAGAGCATTACTTATTCTATCTTCCCTGGTAGAATTCTATTTAAACAGGACCCCATCCGTCGCTGCCTTAGTTACCTGAATTCACTCGTTTGTGTATCCTTTTTTTCTCGAGTCAATGACAACTCAATTGCTCTCCTACAAATAGACTTGTGTCAAGCGTAGACATATCAATAATGACCTTCCAATAATTGGTTTTATTTTGATGAAAAAAGAGATCAAAGCTAGCACATTTACCAACTTCAAAAGTCTGTCTCCTTCCTCTCACACAAAAGCATTAAACTGCGGTTGCTGGGGTTTCCGTAGTGTTCAATTCTTTAGACGCTTCTGTTGTTGATCCGGCGTCGACTGCTCCGGGCTTTGAAGTTCCCATCTGCTCCGATGTATCTGTGGATACATTTCTGCCCGACGACGTTTCTTCGGAGGCATTTGGCGAAGTTGTGGTGTCTTCTATCCCTGTCGAATTGGTTCCATCCAAAGATTCCGTTGAATCGTGCGGTTCTGTCGAAGTAGTCGATGACATTGTTGCGTCTGCCGACGTACTCGTGCCTTCTGACTCTGTCAAAGTTGCTGAGGACTCATTCCTGCCTAAATCTCCAGCTACATCTTCATTCGCCACCGAAGTGACAGAGGACGTGCCACTGCCAACAGATTCAGTTGAATCGTGAGGTTCTGTTGAAGTAGCCAATGGTATTGATGTGTCTGCTGACGCACTAGTGCCTTCTGTCTCTGCCGAGGTTGCTGAAGACTCGTTTTCGCCAAAAGTTTCCGTAGAAATGGTTGCATTTGTGTATGCAGTCCATGTCGATGCATCTGTGGGTTCTTCTCTATTCAGGGTTGAAGTTCTGCTTTCCGTCGTGGAAGTGGTTGTGTCGGCAGTTGCAGGTGTAGATTCCACTTCTGTTGGACTCGATGAGGACGTTGTTGTGACTTCTGCTTCTGTTGAAGGCGTAGTGTCTGTTGAAGCGGCTTCTGCTGTGATGTCGGGCTCAGTAGACTCCATGTGAGTCTCCATGGAAGGTTCTGTGAAGGGGTTCGTTGTTGTGTCCACGGACGCGTGCTCCTCCAGCGGGAAATCGTCACCTCCCTGACCTTCTTCGATTTGATTAAAGAGGTGCGAGATTTCGCCGTCATTCACAACCACCCAACCGTCTTCGTCATCACCGTCTCCACCTGCCTCCTCGTCGTATTCCTTCAAAAGCCCGTCATTTTCATCCACCATCAAATTGGTTCCGCCGAGTGGAGTGCCGTAGTCGTCGTCCGTAAAGAATGCAAACGCAGTGGAAACGAGACACAGGCAGATAATTGCGGCGTTTATAAACTTCATGGTTCCTGTTCTTCCACCTCATTGGAATTGGGCGGTTTTATAAGCGGCTGACGTCATAAATCACACTAACTCACCCCAGGCAACTAAATCTGCGGGTCTGCTGGGTGGTGCTTTTAGCTGAACACGCTTAATTCCCTTGGTCAAAAAATGCATATTTTACACTTTGGAGGAAAAAGTGTGCTCACCCCCAAACCAAAAACTGGTCCTTAAATTTAGATGGATACGATTAATCGCATTTCCGTCCACACCATTGCCAAGGACAAAATAACTCCACTTGACAGCAAATCGTTCTTCGTTAAGTTGAACGAACAGAAGAGCGGTTTGATAGCGATTGCATAGCGAGCGTTTACCAGAGCGGAAAGAGTCAAGAGCAATTTGTCAAACGATTAACTAGAGCCAATTGTAATCAAACAAATCAAGTATACTATACAGGGAAAGCCTCATCTACTGTCGAATGTGATAATTGTGCTAATAGCGGGGGTATAGAGCAGGTAGGGAAAGCAGCAAGTAGAAGCTTGATTAGGCCTGAGGAGCACTGCCAAATCCCTTGTTTTCGTCACTCAAAGACGAGTTATGAAGTTGGAGGGGCGAAGTGCTGCAGTGGTGAGAAGACGATGGTGATGGTGAAGACTGAGCTAGGTTGAAGGCAGAGAACTCGGTTGTGGGGGAACGGTGGTTGGAGTGGCAACTCAACGATCCCTCCTCAGACTCCTTCTCGCGTTCAGGAATGAAGATGCCCTCGTCGCTGGACTCTGGCGTCTGGCGTTGCATCTCGCCTTGTGATTGGCACAGACTCGAGGCGATCTGGATTCCGGGATCTGATTGGTTCAGAAGGGAGCCTTGTGGTGAGGGCGACCTGGCTATGAACGGGGAGAGAATTGGCGGATTAAGAACAGCGCTCGGCATTTGGCTTCTCTGGAACACGGTTTCACCTTGTAAAGGACGAAAAGTTGGGCAGAGTTAAGAAGAGATGCTGTGACCTCCGTCAACGCCTCTCAGACGTATCAGTAGACCCCCCGGACTATCAAACTGGCACGCCTTACTCAAAATTTCACCGAGTACCTCCAAATGAAGATGCGTATCTATTCAACCCATTCACCAATACCACTGCGACATGCTACGCACTCAGTTATTCTACGATGACAAATGTCACTTACCGCTCCCATCGTCAACAATCGCAGCGTTCTCCGGCAGTCTTTTGCCGGGGTGAGTCACGTGTAGTCGTGGATTTGGGTTCGCTGAGTGTCGATTTCGGCTGCGTCTTGAACTGAACCACATGTTGCATCCCCTGATGGTGCATTTGTGCATCTCTCGTAGGTGCACAGCGCTGAAGTGTATCTTCAGAGCGCCTAAAACGAATAAAACGCACAGTTGTAATTGATGCTGTACTTAAATGAAAAAAGTAGTTTGTCATATTCATCACGAGTGCCTACCCTTGTCGCAAAACGACTTCTTGCACGTTGTGCAGAGCACGCGTTTTTTGTTGCGTCCAGTCAAATTTAAGGCGAGTGGATCACGCTGAACTGTAGCGGTACCTTGTCTACCCTCCTGCTTGCAGTCACTGAAGGCTGAGCTGCTGCCGCCGCTATGATGCGGTCGCTTGTACTCAGACGACATCTTCTTGGTCGATGTTGCGCGAGGCGATCTTTGGTAGGCTGGGGTTTTACCAGGGCCAGATAAGTCTGTTGTAAAGTCCATTGGCGTCCTTGGCTCCATTTTTTGGTCGCTTGACGTCGCCTTGCTCTCTGGTATGTTGGTGAATGGAGTGCTCCAGATGTCGAAGAGGTCTACCATGCAAAAATCGACGTGTTAATTGCGTGCTTCGTAGGAGAACTCTACTAGCTTCCAGCACTTACCACCAAGACACTTTTTCCGGTCGTTGACGCTAGCCTTGAAGGCTCCAGCGGTGGCGTCAATCACTTCCATCGAAGCCGTGGAAGACGTTGGAATCGGTGGTGGTGGAAAGGGAAAACTGGGAATTGGTGGAATCGGGAGAGCCTCGCTGGAACTGGGTGTCGTGTTGTCGGCCTTGCACCACGGAGGCAGAAGAGGCGGCATGGGGAGAGAGCCAGGGAGCTTCGGAAAGGGCATCTTCGAGGTGAACGCGGCAGCAGCCATGGCCGCCACGAACCGAGCGCTCAAATCCGTTCCTAGATTGACGGTGGGGAACGCCGTCGGCAGTTCCGCCGAGTCCTTCTTCATCGCCTCCTGTTTTCCGGCAAGATTCGGCGGCAGCGGACCGAGGAGGTAGTCGGCTGGCGGCTGAGGCTGCGGGAGGTTTTCGCGCGGAAACTGCGACTTCTCAGCGTCGAGACTAGCGAGCATGTCGTGGGCTAGATGACGGGTTTCCAGGAAACGAAGGAACTGCTGAATGATGACGGTCTCCTCCTCAATCCGGCAGCACACCCACCGATCACGCAGCTGACCCCTGTGATCCTACAGCATCAAGATAATACACTCATTCATCCGTAGTTCCTCGAACACTAACCCACGTCCTTCAGGAAACTCACCGTGAGCATGTAGCCACGCGTGTAGTCCTGTAGTGTCCAACCAAACGAGAGCAGAAATTGCGTCAGGTCAACTTGCAGTCTACTTGTAGACCAAATTCGATCAAGCAGGATTTTTATCCTCGTCGGAATCGAGTGACAACCCAGCAAGGCCATGCCCATTGTCTCGAACATGACGATGATCAGATTCGGGTCAGATTTGATGCTGGTGCCGAAGAATGGGGGCAGGCTTTGAAACTTTGAGCAGGCTGCAGAAAAACAAAACGCGTCGAGAATAATTGGCATGAGTCACAGGCCAATTGAAACCGCACTACTGTCCACACCCCTGACATCCCATAGCATCGGGAATTTATCTGGCGCGTCGTGGTTCACTGCTGTCATGTAAATATCACAGGTGGTTTTCGTTGAGGCGAAAAGTTTGTGCGTGCGTGCGTGCGTGCGTGCGCGCGCACGCAACACATCACCACCAGACAACACGCCCGCCTCATTTTCACATACCCAATTCATGAAAATGTCAACAACAAATGACCGCGTAGGTTGCGGTTGGGCAGTCGACAACTTTACAGGCAAACGTCAAGTATCAGTAGAAAACAAATGTGCTAATTTAGGCACATCTGCGGAAATTAAAAGAAACCCGTGCAGTTACTAAGGGAAGGAAATTTGTGGTGTTGTTTACACAAAAAATCGATTCTACGGGTGCCTTGGTGGCCTTGTGGACTGTTTCTCCTATTGTCATTTCCAACATGCGCCGAAGTGCCCAAATTCCACGTCAGATCTGATTACCATGTTGCGTCTCCGTTGTTATAGCGTGCTTAACATCACCATGCCAACAGCATTGTTGATCGTGGATATTTTAACTCCGCGACCTCCTGCTCTAGGTCACATTTTGACGGAGTAACTACTAGATCACGACGAATGACCTTGCTCAGGTTGCGCTTTGAGAGGTTGAACTGAGCACTGGTATTATGGCATCGAAAGGATTGTGATCTAAACTGTCTGTGCGCAAGCGTGGTTTCACAAGCCGTTGCGCTCCATCAAGCAGTCCTAACTCCGTCAACACAGACCCCCCTTTAAGAGCCACTTACGTGACGATGAATTTTGCGGCTTGGATACAGGGAGGTGGCCGAAGTGGTCACCACAAGTGCCTCTGGTGCCTTCAAACGCGCTTTTATTGGGCGATGGCAATCTGCGTTGCTAACACCCTGGGTTGTGTGTGCGTGGCCACTAAAAGCCGTCCTCGTTTTATTGCAAACATATTAACATGCGTGTCGACGCTATCAACATGCACCATCGGTTCCCCAGGGGGACCACCCCAGAAGCAGCCTGTTTCACCACCCCCTAACCCCCATCCAGCCTCGGAGCGAGATTCCACGCTGATTTTGTAGTCCTAGGTTCATCATTGACACCTTCCCGTCATTGCTGGCTTCCTATTGGCTCAGGCTTAGTTATCTTCGACCAACCAGTGTGTGTGGAGCAAGATGGGAATTGTTAAAATATGGGAATGCAGACAGATTTGATTTGGCAAGGTCAACTCACCATGGAAGACCCAGGAGTGCGAGCAAGACGAGCACTGGCGAACAGCGTTGATGGTGGGCAGGAAGGCCTTGCACTCACAGCCTGAGCTGGCGCATCGAGCGGATTGCGGCGTAGTGAAATTCCTCATTCCGGGCTGCAAAATTAACCAACACCTCTTCAACTTGTGGTGCAACCAACCAATCGTGAACTTCCTCCCTCCACCCCCCCCCTCCATCTCTCCTTCCAACCACACCTTATCTGTTATCTCCACTGAGCGGGCATGTTGACGAGTCGGCACTGATCACGACACCCTCCCCCTGCACCACTTCCAGACCCGTAATTTTATGGCACTTTGGGCTTCTAATGGCCTTAGGGACGCCTCTTTAGCTGTGCAACGAAATCGACTTTATTTGGTGATCGGGACAGCCGATAATCCGGTTACTACGACAGTGCACGCGTCAGGAGGTACTTGAAATGACCCAGAGCTCAGCCATACACACCGATTACTGGCTTCAGAGAGCGAAAGGCACCTTTGAACTAGGAAATAGCCCAGCCACCAGTGTCGTTTGTTATGGGTAATTGGGTAGTGCGGCCGTCGACAGTTTTTTTAAGTGGAGGTTGCAAATAGAAATAACACTTCAATTGGTCAACCAAAAGAAGGCTGCAGCAAGCCAGTGCGCGAAAGCGCCTAACGGGTGAACATTTGTCAACATTTGCAGGGTGGTTCGGTGGGCACACACTGGTGTGTTCTTCGGCAGCAGCAGCAGCAGGAGCAACAGAGGCGGCTCTGTTGACAGCCTTCGGTACAAACGTTGTACATGAAACAAAAGTGCCGTGGCCCGCGTAAAACCACATTGCCTCTCTCTTTCCTGTGGGCAGAGGGCTTTTTATCGGTTAATGGACTGTGACAACTGCTGCCTCTCTGCTGCACACACACACACACGCAAGCCAGCAAGCGCGCACACACTCTGCGTTGCTGTTCGCGCAAGGGTAATTTGTGTTTTGTGTGACATCTCAGTTGTTACCACAGGGACGAGCACAACTGTTGGACGCAGTGACATTGTCGATCCTTGGTGGGGTCTGGGAACACGGGGGGGGCCTTGTAGGACCACAGCGACACGACATGTGTGTTTTACACACACACACACACGAATGCGTGCTGCAAATGGTCACGCAGACCGGGCAAGGACAGTGTTCCCCGGGGTTGATTTGTAGTGGTGGGGATGGGGGCCGGCGGGGAAACTGCTATTTCGGGATTTGTGTCTAACATGAAGAATTGATGGTTTCACTTTTTGCCCGTATCACCCAATACATGATGTAGCGTTTTTGTGTTCGTGATGTGTGTGTGTGTGTGCACGCTTGTGTGGTGGTCTATCAAAGGCAGTTTCGATTGCTCTCCCGGTCACGAATGCACGAACGCACAAAACTATCACCCACAGCGCAACCAGGTCATCGCCAATTGTTCAACCTCCCCCTCCCCCGTCTCATTCTCTCTCGTCAATCAGCGCGGTTTTTGGCGCCACTCTACCAGAACAAGGAAGCGGTCGACTAATACGGCGTTGGCAGGGTGTGTCCGATAACCCAGGCTGGAATTCACCCTTTACGAGTAAATCAATCTTGAAAAAAAGCATTTCCGCCTCTCCACATTTACCTTCACACACACACACACTTGAAGTGGAATGACGGTAGTCAGAAGCGGCTGGACTTTGTGGTCGATCGATAATCGGGTCTACTGGAGTGTGCCCGACTGTAAAACTAGACGTAGGTACTTTACTGAAGACTGTCTACTTCGATATTTTGTGGTTTCTTCCACAAAATTGGAAAATCCGCCTGCGTCGGGGTCGCGTGGACAGGAAGGGGGAGAAGGAAGGTGAAAAAATGCCACCAATCAAGCATTCGCCAGGCCGCCGCCACCACCACCACCACCCCAGTCGAAGGGCCGAGCACAATTTGGTGGACTATTTCACTCCCCCCATCCCTAAGTTGGGAAGAACCGCTGTCACCACCTCTCCGGGGAGAATGCGGAGACAGACAGAGGCAACTGACCAGTAAACCTCAAGCAGGCTAGAGTTTTGCGTGTCCCCGCGCCGCAGTGTGCTAATCGTCGTGTGCGTCGTTGCCGCAGCCACCTCCACGCGGCGGTCGTTCCCGGCTGAAATGTGATGGCACGCCTGTTCGCCAACATCACAGTGTGTGTGTGTGTGTGTGCGTGTGTGTTTAGAACCACAATGTCATCTAGATGGCGGGTAATTTGCTGCTGCTGCTGCTCCTCTTGGGGGTGAGTGGTGGTTGGCCGTGGCTTCGGCTAAACTGATGCGCTCTGATGACAAATGACTGCGGTAGAAAGAACGCCCGATTTTCCTGCCATGCACTCCGCCCTTGTGGACAAAAAACCGGTGAACACAAGTTGCGTGTGTGTGTGTGTGTGGCGCGGAGGCGTCTCTTCGTCACTTTGCAAGGCCCAAATTGTCACCAAGCTCCCAACGACCACCCCAAAAAAACGTGTTCTGTGTTGTTCTTTCCATTTCACTAGCCAAAATCGACACCAGCGGCTGCTGTTACGCAAGTTATTTGAATTCCACGCGACAGGTCGAGAATGGCACGTGAAATCCGGCATGAGGAGGACTTGGGAACGTCTCACCGTGCCTTCGAGATCAGGAATACATACATAACAGACGTGTCTAGACTTATGTACACGCCAGCCGGCATCATCGTTTGAAAAATTTTCCCTAACTGAGTGGATTAACGGTAGAAAAATTGGAAGCAAACAACCGTCGAATGGAAACTGACACCTATAGGGTTGACAAATTGAGGGATGTAGAAGTTGTTTGTCGTTTTAATCGACTTCATTGATTCCGGGTTTCGAAGTGGTGGCAGTCGTCCACTCTCAAGGTCACGTTGATCGCACTTAGGTAATGAGGAGCGAAATCGCAGAAAATCTGGGCTAATTGACAGCATCATCGAGGCAGCCTCAATTTCGTGTCACCTCGCGGATCGTGACTCACGAGCGTCCAAAACAGGGGCCAATTAAACTCGCGGGCAGGAGTGGGTTGGTGGAGAGGGGTCAGGGGGACAGGTGTGACACCCCAAACCCACACAGTCTTCCTTCCAAAACGCAGGTGCACTTTACCGTCAACGATGGTGCCACTAATGAATTTCGTTTAATGTCCAGCGAATGGAATGTGCCTCCGTGGGTAGAATCAGGTATTCGTGTGGTGGACAGTCATTAAGTGACCTACTGATGCAATTCACGTGTTCTGGACACATCGACACACGTGGCCACCGATATAACAAAAACCACCAAACCCAGTAGTTGGGGTACCCACGTACTCCGAACAAACCAGACGCCGCTGAATCTATTGTGAACGAAGACGTCAACCATGGTAACTGCGGCGACGAGACAGTAGCACCGTCTGTGGCTTAGGGGGCGAAAACGAATGGGACTTAACTGATTCATAAAACACCCGTGACTGTTGCCCCGGCGTGTGTGTGTGCGTGTTTGTGCGCAGGATCGTCAAAGGCCAGATCACCATAGCAACCAGAGACACAAGTGTGCTTGCATTTGTGTCCGATCGGCTGAATGTGTGCTGGAAAGGGGGGGATGAGGATGTGATGGCATCTACCCGTCCACGACGCTTGGTGCTAAACGAAGGGGGCATTTTAGAGTGACTTAAAGCACGCCGTTGAACGTGAAGTCTTTCCACGGTTGGAATTTAGTCGCACATATCGACAGACGCGCCTCTTGCTTCCCCGGTTGCGAGAATTCGACTGCGTGGCGCAGCAGGAATTGAGGAGGTCGAGGTACAGACCGTTAATTAAAACAACGCTTTCATTCCACGATGAATATCGCCATCAGCGCGGTGCACCTGTGGTCAACCGCCTGGAGAATCCTTTATATTAGCCCCCCCCCACCCCACCAAATCATCACTTTGGCCAATCCCGACCCACCCCCAATTCCGTCCCGTTTATCTACCGCGGCAGCAGTGGTCAGAAAAGGTCAGGCAGGTCTTTTGCCACGGGCGCGTGGGCCTCCAGGACTTGAATGTCATGACATTTTGGGCCAAACCGCAGATAGCGTGGCGTGCAGTGCAGGCACCTGCACTGCACGTGTCTTTTTTCTGTCTACGCTCGAGCTGGTGCTTGGGGGAGAGGTGGTGTGATTAAGTGTGGCGGCGGTGGTGGTGGTGCTGGTGGCGGTGATGGCATGACTGTCGCAGTGACCTTTCCCAATTGCGCGAAAACCACGCACCGCGATTCACCACACACGCACACACACCCATCGAGTGTCAGGCTGCCTGCGCGGTGATGATCGGATTTATGTCGAGAAGTGGATGGGATGGGGGGTGGTGGGGAGATCCCCTCCCCCCTCCCAACCATCCTGTGCGTGTGTGCGGGCGCCCACGTGCGCACATGTAGGCATGTGTGTGTGTGTGTGTGGATTACAGCTAATGTCATCAGAGCCTGATGGGGTGTGGTGTGGTGCTGTCAACATGTGGCCGGTGAAGAGCGGTCATCAGCACAGCCAAAAAAATGTGAAAATATCCCGTACTCTCCTCTACCCATCTACAAAACCGCGCGCGCACGCGCGCATAACTGCAGAGATTAGCAGGCGCTCTCGAGCGTGTTTATTGGCTTTCGTTCTACGCAGATGGACACAATAATTTTTGACAGAAAAAGGCACAACACACAGGTTGACGAGATCACCTATCGATTGTTTACTGCAACCAAATTCAAAAGTGCAGCATTTAAAATTCACCGCGCGATCGTTGAGCGCTCACGTGAATTGCGATCACTCCGCTTCAGATGTGATCGGGTGTAAGACGCGTCTTGGTTTCTAGAACACACACATCTGCGGCCATGACGACAACGTTGGGTAGTTTTGGGGTATTTTCTCGAGTGAAAAGCGACCCAAACTAGTGCTGATGCAGACGAGATTTCTCAGCCCCTGAAGGATGACAACTAGAAGTATAGCGTTTGCACTGAACAGATTCCCAGTCACGTTGGATACGTAACCCCGCCTTGCATTAAAACTTTTTCTTGGTTTCTGTTGTGTCGTTGTGTAGAAAAACCTGGGGCCCATGGATCTAATGTTGAACGTCAACGACTATGAGAACCGAAGCATCTGCTTTTCGCCGACTACATAAGACATCCACAGTCGCTAGCACGGGCCTTTGCAAGGGCGTTTAACTTGCACTAATGGCTTAGTTGTGGCCTCCGTTTGACTAATGATGACGGGTTTGAACGACGCCCGTCGTTTTTTTTCACTACTTGTAGTCGCAAAGTATTCGCCTAGCCGTTTGTCCAACCCATCGGGGGCAACACTTGGCGTCTCTAGAAAACCTTCTGTGTGTAAACACTCCCACCTCACTTCCAGTCCGTCTTCACTGAAGACATCACACAAACCCACGAAGAGGATGGATGACCTTCACATGGCGAGTCCTTGATTGTATCACCATTATCGGTTGGATGTGTGTGTGCGCGAGCGCGCGTGTGCGCAAGTGTTTATGACACGACAGCACAGCAACGCCTCTGAGGTCCAAGTGATGTACACCCACAAACTCCCCCTCTCCCTCCCTCCCTCCCGCGGTCTAATCCCACCGGACACGCGCACCTGTCCACCTGTTGACGCGGTCGTGTGTCTCTAAGCCGCTGCCATGGCCAGCGTGGCGGTATTGGTGCCTTCCACAGTCAGGTGATGACTTATCCAACATGGAAACCCACATTGTGGCCGTCGTCGTAGTACCTGATTAATAAATCGGGGCCTCTCAACCGCGTGAGGGACAAAACCGCATGACTAACCGCATAGACGCGAGGGCATTTCTGTGATTGATTAAACCCGGTGATGTGGGGGGAGGTGGTGGTGTGCGGTGTGTGTGTGGGGAAAGGTAAAGGCATGACTACAGCGACGACAGCAACCCAGCAACAGGCGATGAAAACTTCCCCAGGGAATTAAGGGTGTCTCCCCATACTGGGTTTAAGGGTGAAAGTGGCCCACGGCATCATCATCATCATCACCGCCGAAGCCCCTATTCAATCTCCAACCAATTCAAGTTGTATTCGAGACTCGCGTGCTAGTAATTGCAAGTCACAGCCGGTGCGACAGCAGCATCGACAAGTAGCAGTGGTCCTAGTTCACGAACAAGGCGAAGGAGACAGAGGAGGCGATTGCAGGCGGTGCTTTTTGCCATCAAATTTCACTCGGAAGACCAAAAAAACGCGTGGACGAGAGCGCGGAGAGACAAGATTGAGGAAAAACGCGCGCGTCTAACAGTTCTGGACAAAACTGCTGGACGTCACCGTAACAGTTGTTAGTATTGCATTATAAGCGGGGTCTCGGGAGAGAGGGAGGGGGGAGGCTTGTGCAGTGGACTTCATCGCCATCACCATCTCCTCCTCCTCCTCGCCTTCCTCCTCCGTCTTCAAACTATCGATTTTTTTCTGCTTTTATTTGCATGATGCATGGCAGTTGTTTATGGTGTGCAAACATTTGTCTCCGGATGACCGCTTTTTGGAATCAAGGAAAAAGAAACTTGTGTAAAATTTTCCTCCTCTTTCTCCTCCTCCCCCCCCACCTCCTCTCAAACAAGCAAGGATTTGTGTCCCAAGGACGAGGGAATTAATCTGGTCGCTTTCGTTTCAGTTGGTGGGAGGCAGACCCTGGGGAATGAACCATCATCTCCAAAATTGGAAGAAGCGAGTTCTCTCACCAAAATCAGCCAACGAGCACTCATGTATTATGTGAAGAAGCCGTTTGGAGAGACACTACAGGAAACTACCTAACGACCACTACCATCATTACCATCATCGATAATACCAAAGACGGCGGCATGAGTTCCAATTATTCGACGCATCGAATGGTTGTGCAGGAGGAATCTGAAGCTGATGTTGCATCCCCGACAAAGCACTGCGGACCTAGGACTACTTTTTCCACAGATGGCTATCGATAAGGCCGAATTTTAAGCCCAGGGTTACGACGTACCAGACTTGAATATGTTTGTGTGTGCTGGTACCCTCTGCGATCCCAACAACAATCAGTCGAACACCCCCAAAATTGGAAGCTTCCAATTCTTTCACCGAAATCAGACAACGAACACCCATGCGGTATGTGAAGGAGCTGTTTGGAGAGGCACTACAGGAAACTACGCCAAGTTGGATTTCCAACATACGACCACCACCATCATTACCATCATCAGTAATACCAAAGACACCAGAACGGGTGCAAATTGTTTGACGCCTCAAATGGTTGTGCAGGAGGAATCCGAAGCTGATGTTGCATCCCCGACAAAGCACTGCGGACCCAGGTGTACTGTGACCACGGATTGCTATCGATTAGGCCGAATTTCGAGCCAAGGCTCATCGACGCACCAGACTTGGACGTGTTTGCGTGCGTATGTGTGTGCTGGAACCCTCTGCAACCCCAACAGCCATCAGTCGAGCATCTCCAAAATTGGAAGCTTCCAGTTCTTTCACCGAAATCAGCCAACAAACACTCATGCGATATATGAAGGAGCCGCTTGGAGAGATACAACGGGAAACTACGCCGAGTTGGAGTTCTAACCTACGACCACCACCATCATTATCATCATCAGTATTACCAAAAACAGAGACATGAGTGAAAATTATTTGGCTTTTCAAATGGTTGTGGAGGAGATATATGGAACCACCGACCCCCTCGATTACTTAGACTGGACTTGAGGTGCACTGTGGCTCGACGTAGGCTTCTCGCCTCGATGTTCAGTACTCAGACTGGACCGAAGATTGAAATCTCCGGTGACCTTCAACATTCCTGCCGTTTGGAAAGACGCTACAGGAAACTACCTAACGACCACTACCATCCTTACCATCATCGATAATACCAAAGACGGCCGGATGAGTTCAAAGTATTCGGTGCATCGAATGGTTGTGCAGGAGGAATCTGAAGCTGATGTTGCATCCCCGACAAAGCCCTGCGGACCCAGGTGTACTTTTTCCACGGATGGCTATCGATTAGACCGAAATTCAAGCCAAGGCTCATCGACGCACCAAACTTGAACGTGTGTGTGTGTGTGCTGGAACCCTCTACGATCCCATTAGCCAACCCAGAAGTTGGTGGTGGTTTGATGCGGACCAAGTGAGTGAGAGACCCAAATGCGTCTATCTTATTTCGTTAGCAAATGCAAACAAAGAAAAGGCCATAACACTATGATGTGCTGTGTTATATCATGCTATATGAAAGTCCCAAACAAGAAACATGAGCCAGCAAGTTATTGAAAAAAGAAAGAAAGTACAACTTAGACTGAAAATGCCGAACCAGGACTCACCGAGCTCCAGGGTAGGTCCGTACTGGTGCTTCCGTTGCTACCAACTGAATCAGTTGTGATCTTGCCTTGTCGCATTGCCAGAGTATATCTAGGAGGCGTGTGCGGCAGTACACCAACTTCGGGGCAAGCAGCATCTCTGCGTCCAACGAGCGAGCTGGCCTGCCGGTGCACGCGCTGACGTGCGTGCTGGTGACAGCGCGCGCGCACGCTGATTCACGCACGCACACGAAGTGCGCAGACCACACGCAGCGCGTCGGACACGAATTCAGCCAATCAGGAGCGGGCTTGGGGCAGGTGACAAACTACCTGTGGTGCCAACGTATCTGTTTGAAAAAGGGGAGTGGGGGGAGGGAGGAAAAAATCGAAAACGGGAATGTTCGAGGAGCAAAAATCTTGGTGCTCGTGGAACCTTGGTCTGTGCAGAACCGCGGTACCGAAATTCGTTTTCACCGGATAAGAATTACTCCGTAAAAGTAGGCTATTTCAATTCGCCCAACCGAGTTATCGGGACCCAATAGTCACAGGAGCTAGCCATCTTTTCCAACTGAAGAGGAACTGGATCACAGGAGCACCCCGGAGGACGTCTCCAGTTGTCTTGATTCGTCGTTCCAACAAACCCCTTTGGAGTCAGCTGTTGGTTTGAGGCCATGGTTAGCCCCTTCCCCCCAAAACTCCTCGCTTCTTCCGCATCCCAGAGCCTCATTGCGATGTTCATTGGTCGCCGGCCCAAGCACCAAGGTCATCCATCATCCCTGGGCGTTCGCGTTCTCTTTGATGCCCGATAAGCGGAAAGTGATGACTGTTTTTACGGCAGCTTGCCACAATCTATTAATGACGGCAGAGTCCCTGGTCTACTGGTATCCTAGTTCGCGGATATTTATCATATTACCGCTGGAGTGTGTGCGTGTACGCGCGACCTTTTCCCCGCCTCGTGGCAACAGTGTCGCAGGATTTGCTGGAGCTGTCGGCGTTTTTGAAACAAACGCGTTGGAGGAACAGGTACAATTCGCTCCGATAGGTAAGTGCATTGTGTTATCTCAACTGTTATAAGACTAACTTGGGTTTCGCTGCAATTGCGCTTCATGGATTGATATTTCCTTACCTCTTAACCAGCCACTTACGTCTTTTGATTATCATGACACGTTTCTTTCACTTTTGTGCTTGACACAATGAATCCTCCCTTGAGGCATAATCCATATTTTGTGTGTTCCTTAATACGACGGTTTGAATTGGCGGCTACACGTGCGGTGGTTATCGTCGCGCTCAGATATTTGCATGTTCCACTTCGACTGGTGACTGCTTTGAGTGCCACGTTGAAGCTTTCCTGGTGTGTGAAGAATCGACATGATGGACCAGTCCACGGTTTCTGCGTGTTTGGACGGTTATCGTAGTCCATCTTAAGTACTTCTATCCCACCACGACACAATCATTCGTGGAAATACAGCAGTCCACCGTTTACCGAACAGGGATGTGACTAGTTTGCTGTCCAAAGTGATGACTCATCAAGTGGTGATCAAGCGCAGTTAATGCAAAATGGCTGAGTTTTCTTTATTCGAAGGCCGATAATCTGCCAATTGTACTAGGACTTGGCCAAGAGGTGTAGGCATATTGGCACACTTGATGCAGCAGTGGCGCAGATGCACTAGTTAACAGAACGGACTGTGGATGGTTGCTATCGACGAGTTGGCCATGCAGTACTAGATTGAGTGGAATCTCGGGCGGCACAATTCCACGAATAATCGCACTTCAGGGCATTCAAATTGTGGATCTACGCAGGATCAAAGCTACCAAAGCAACTGAAATCGCATGGTAATTGACAATCGATGAAGTTCTTAAACCCCATACCCCATTCTTTCATAGGGAACAGAAGAAAGCGATCGATTGAGTGAGTTGAGTTCGTGTGTAAAAGGGAAATTAGCCAATTCGATTCGTGGAACACCTTCGGCTGGCAAAATACTTGAAAATCAATGCCTTTAATGCCTTTAATTTGGAAACAAACGACTTGAAGGATGCAACATTTGTACTAGGAAACTCACATAATCTTCGAGAAATTGCTTTTTTTGCTAAACTAGCTCCATCGACCTAACCTGGACGTCACGGTGTTTCAACAGGAAAGGTTATTTTACCACTAAACCAATAAACGGTTGTCAACATAATCTTAAGAGTCCAGAGCTACTTTTTGATCTGGATCAAACTCCTTAAAAGGTGCTGTGTTGAACGTCCTCACAGTAGCATGTGCTGCGAAACTGTGATTCACGATTACTTGGTAAGCAGGTGTCATACATTTCATCTCCCTTCCCTTAAGGAACCACAGAGGTACTCGTGGTTCCCCACTCCCGGGCCAATCACGAAGCTGAGACGGAAGACGAAGAAGCAGAGATTGGTGGGTGTACAAGGAGCAGTGTCATCATCATCACCATCGTCACCCTACCCCCAACGTAGCACCGGGCCTAACCCAGTTCCCATTCACGCAGCTTCCCTCAACCCCTCACTGCCTACCTGGGCTAAGGTGAGTTTTCACATGGTAGTGATGCTGTCTTTCGCCTAAAATCACGATGTAACGAAAACCTGTGACCACGCACACACCCAGTGAAGAGTGAACAAACTTTGCACAGGCAATACCGTGGTGCATGCATTCGATGACCTAATTTCCAACCTTCCCTTGCTCCCCCACAAACTGTCAACTAAGGTGGCATTTCCACCGGGTTTGAGGTTAATGTAGAGGAAGAAAACGTCGATGCAAGATGGGTGCGATAGGGGGCCGGATCTTCAAACTTTAGCGGAATTCATGCACGACAGTGTTGTTGCCGAATTTGCTCAAGTTAGGCGCCCTTAAAATTGTAGCGTGCGGCAGTCACGTCTGACCGAGGTTAATCCACCGAGGTCGCGGTATTATTACTGAATTGGATTTTAGCGCCTAATCACGCTCAGATACCGTGCAATGCTGAGTACTTTGTCAGTAAAAGGAAGTAATCTCGCCACATGACGCCAAAAAATTTTCCACAAATTTATACATCAGAACGAAAAATCACTTTCCACAGCGACTTGTATTTCACTACAAAATCCCACGTGTTTCGAACCCCAATCAACGATTTACCTCCAGCGGGTCTTGTTCCATCACCTGAACGCCTACGCTTCCCACGGTTTCGGTGACATGTCGGACGGGAGAGAAATTGTGATGATAACATTGAAGACACGCACAACAATTGCAACACGAAATAAACACAGCCTGCAGCCATGCTGTCGAAAGAATCGGTTTCTTAGGACACATTCGCACTGGGGTGAATTCAGAGTCATTATAGCCACGTTCTTAGAAATCGTAGTTGCGTGGACAAGCGATTGAGGATATTCGTTGGTGAGAGAACGACCGTTAAGATGCTGAACAAGACGTTTGTTTTAATTAACTATCACGGACATCTTTGCAGTCATTCGGTATATCCGCATGCATTGTCTAGATGTCGTAATTTCGAAATAAAGTTTTTAATATTTACTACTCAATCCTACATTTGACATCGTTTGGCACTCAAGTAAATGCTCCATTTGTTTATTTTTAACAACTTTGTTGAATATTCCGGTGTAACAGAGAATTATTCCAAACCGAACTTGTCTACTTAGAGAGTCCACCTGTTCAATTAATCCTCAAATGCGATTGGCCTAGATTATTGGGTGACTGTGAGAGGTCGTACCCCGATTTACATAGAATTGTGTACTTTTGGTCGGGCTAAAGTTTCGTTTGCTATAATCACATTAACTTTCATTAATCCAAATGAGCAGGTGCCTTTCGGCATGTTGTATTTTTTGTGAGTTTAAAACAAAAGCGCGTGTTGAAACGGAATAAAATAAATGCAGGGCGTTTAGTTGCATTGTGAGTGAGATCAGTTGGGAAATTTTAACTGAAGAGATTGCTTAGGAGCTGGATGCAGAATAACCCAACTGGTTTTAGTGACTTGAGTCCACTTCTAAACGCTGTGTATCGAATCCTCGTGTTTCGACTTGACATAACAAACCTAACTGTGATTATCCCAGGTCGAAGACAAGACGAACCTTTCATGAAATAAATCCTAGCTGTATCTGGTGGGAAATTGCAGGGGATTAATCTTCTGCAGGCTTCTTTCACGTCGTCAAACAGTCACTACGGTGAGCAACTCATCCAATTGAACTGAGAGAGCCAAAAGGGGGTATCCTCCGTCTCCCAGATCTTCCCCAATCAGATATTGATCTGTTTCTTTATATGCAACTGCTGCATTTTTGATGTTAACTTGGAAAAGAAGACCAAATTTTCACTCTCTCGCAGCTTGAAACCCACTGTGAACGCCCGTGACAGGTGATTTATTTGGTATAAATGAACATTTTGCGGATAAAAAGCATTCCTGTGACCAGCGTTGATGTTGTGCACGTGCTACTGTCATCTAGCAATCACCCGCTGGACCAGAAATTATCCCACAATGCCATCAAAAATAGAGTTGACAGAATGTGCGAAATCTGCCTGTTATCGCCTCTCGATGTTGTTTCAAGGGTTTCATACGGGCCAGTGATTTATGCTGAAGGCGCGTTGGACAGTGGGCGCTAGACGCTGCTACTTGAACTTCTGTGGCAACGGTGGCGTGTGTCCGTGTGTGGAACTGGCAAGTCTAGACGTAGATGAACCCGAAAGCCTATATCGGACCCTGTTTTTCCAAGGCGAGAATGGGTGTACCATCTAAGATTTGTTTTAAAGGCTACACTGGGTTATCGATTAGGGTTTTCATTGTTCAGGATTAGCGCATCTCATTATTTGGTCATCGTACCTTTGCCGAAACAAGATCCTGATCACCTAATCCAGCCCACCGACCCACCAAAACATGTTTTGGTCGATGAGAAGTTCAGGGAAACGTTGTCGACCACTTCAAAATTTTTCGGTGTGCAACGAATCCCGATGTCAGGAGGTTTACCCTCCACACTAATGAAATTGCGAAACTGTTAAAAACGGCACCGAATTGTAGCCAAAAGATGATGGAAACCCCAAGAAATGCTTGTGTTCTGGAGGGGAATCATAAGGCAAAAGCACCAGTGATAAATAAGTCACTTGGCATTATTGATTATTGGTTTCGTTGATTGCTAGTGGAGAGATTTTAAAAAAAGACATTTTTTGTACACGGTGTATTTGTAATTGCATCGATTTTATTGGTTCAACTTTCATTGGCTGATCTGCAAAACGGGCCAAAATTTGCCTATTTTGAATTCGTTATCGCTTCCAATGGAAGCTACTAATATTGATTAATTAAAATGCATTTCGGAGGATGAGCAGCTTAAGGTCACCTCAGAACCTGAGACGGTTTTAACCTTCACATCAGTTAATCCGTTCTACCATCAGCGAGAATAATCACGAGATAAAGCAACGCCTGCAGGGTTTTTAAAGTGAAATCGAGAAAATGAAGGTTACCTTTACGTTCTGTTTCGGCTGTTTGAAAATTAGACATTCTTAAAATCTGGTTGTCCCTTGTGTCGACGAGGCAAGAAACGGAGCCAACGCAATTAGTAAATGGGCCCTTTCAATTATAAAAATGACTCAAACACGACATGAGGATTAATTATACATTGCATAAGATTTAAAAAAATAATCAAACAAAGGTTTTATCTGGGCTTCCTTGTAAATTTTTGGCCCAACCCGAATTTTTTAGCGCTTGTTTGCGAATGTTACAAACAGGCACGAGCGACCGGTAATCCAATCGATGTTTGGTTTCTATTGATTGAAACATCGAAGCATGGTTTTGGTGCCACTCAAAACCAATTTTCCTAAGAGATGATTGGATGGTTCTGTGATGTTCCCACATAGGTGACTTTCTCTCTCTACAAGTTCACATCTGTGCACTTCGTGTCGATTGAATTTCAGTAAAGTAAGTGTGTTACCACTCCTATAGAGTGGGACCAGAGAAATTTGGGCATTTTCCACCACTTAAAGTTTTTTCTTAAAGCTTGGGAGCCACATGGCTTGATTACGTTTATTGTCGACGACTAATTAAAAAAAGAGCAAGATTTGAGTGGGTTTGAGATGTTATACGTAAAACTCGATTCGTTGTGTTAAAATAGTCTCCCTTTCTCCATGTCCAACTATGGTTCTTAGCGAGTTGAAACCATTTTATTGATTTTCGTCAAAGTGTGCCTGTTTTTAGTGCACCAGAACGACGTTGCTCAAGGTCGAGTAAGGGAATCGCAGCACACGTTTATCACATTTTGTTAGTTACACTGTTAACTGGCTTGCATTGTTATTACGGAACCCAAATATAGACTTTCATGACTATTCCAAGACATTCTGAATACCCTCAGATTGACTGAACACCTTCAGTCACTTGAGAAATCCGCAGGTCTCTCTGGAATCTCTCGCACAGCTAATCGGATCGATTTGTGACCTTCAGTCGGCCACCATCGACTTTAGTGAACCAAACAGTAATAGGATCATCCATGGAACGGAATATCTTAGTTCCGACACGTGAGTTGTTTGGTCAAGCAACCAACGCCACAAACCTTGCATCACCGTACGTGGGCTTCAGGAGCAATTGTTTCTCAAGATGTGTTGGAACTGTTAGTTTTATGCTCACCATGCTGAAATCACCCCCTATCTAACGGTTGCAAACAAGGAATCAAAACGAACGAACCATGATTTGGCCGGAAGTGCTATTAAATCAACAAAATGATTCCAAACTACCTGCTCTTTGGTAACTCTGTAAACTCAAACAAGGCATGAAAAACAAAAAAACAGAACCCTAAGTAATCAAATGTTCTGTCCAACAATCACACGGCTATGCGTCTTCTCCACTAAAGTCTTCCACCCTTGGTTCCATGGTGAAAAATGCTTCTTCGTCCTCCGCAGCAGTGTCGTCCACGTCGTAAGGCGTCACTTCGTCTGAAATGTCGCTATCCACGGTGTCTAGTAGGGTGTCCTCATCGATGCTGGGGGCAGTCTGGGGGAAGAAGTCTTGAATTGGAATTTCCACCTCGTCAGCATCAGGTTTCACTGTGTCGGAAAGAGCCTCTGATTGGTTGGGGGTCTGGACGTTATCTTCCACCATTTCAGATTCTCCGCATGTAGCCATAACCACAAGGATTAGGCAGAAAGTGTACGCAGGGATCGCCATTCCAATTTTTGCGGAAGTGACGCCTGCTACGAGGTCATTTATACGGTTTATTTGGGCGTTGCAGGTTAATTTATTGCAACATTCGAATGACCAACATGCGGGTGGGCTCTATGTGGTAAATTTTGGAAAATTACAACCCTTGGGTCTTGAAACAGGCTAGACAAAGTGAAACTCGAACTACGGGGATTTGTTTTTTGTACTTAACGATTCAGTCCGACTATTAACTAATAAGGACTCTTAAGGTGAACCATCCAATCAGAATTCACCAACGCCATGGCAACGGGCTACCACACTATCCATTGAATCTCCTCCGAGAGACTTTGTTTTAATTTGTAAGAATCCTTAAAAAATTAAGAATTGAATGTGGTTTTGACGTGCGAAGTGGTCTAGTATGTTTACTTTAGGAAGCAAACTGACTCTTAAGAATTGGGCTCTTCCCAGTTGTGAAAAAAAATTCAAAAAACCCTTAAAGGCCAGTAATATTATCCGTCTTAAATTGAAAAGAAGCACTTTTCTGAGAATAGTTAATCAAAGTAGTGATACGTGCGCTCCCAGATATTAATTGCGTGAATATAGGTATTCTGTTTGAAAGGGAAAAGTGAGTCGATTTTGTGGTCAACCACAATCGAGGCTGTTCATTGGCCGACAAGGAGGATCGACCCATGACACTTCTGTGGAAAATCGATATTACGCTGAATAATGGATTGAGGCGACCAGTTTCTAGTGCACGTCTGTTTGGGGACCAAAGTGAAGATGCCTGATCACGAGGTTTAACGCCGTTTTTGGCGAAAACTACACCCGACCACATCATGCTAATTGTCAGACATGACAGTAGATTGCGGTGGTGGTGGTGGTGGTGGCCTAGGCATATTTTGCACCATGGGGTTGGGGGGGTGGGATGTGGAGTCACTTTAATTCGAAAGTTATTGAAAAACAAAAACACATATTTAATTTGTCCACATTTTCTCAAAACCGGAACTAAATGAACAGTTAAACACATCTATGCAGAGGCTGATTTCACCTACGGGAACGAAGCCACGTCACATCGTATCTTTACCAAAAAAACCAATCATATAGGTCAACTTCACGATTGTAAGGAATTCCTGAAAGGGGATTAGAGATCTTGTATATTGTATACAGCCTCATTTTGATTCGTTTAATCCCAATTCATGAAAACTGAAAGGACCACACATTTAGGTTTGACAAATGAAAATTTTCAGAATTATTTTTTCGTGAATATTGGGTTCTTCGATTCGTAAGCAGCATAATTTGAAAATGAAGGCAAACCTCTGCTCCAGAAAGAACTTTTTACGAAGAAACGGAGCTACCATGACAATCCATGGTAAATTTTGACACTTCGCAGTCACAATAATTTTCTTCGTGATGTCATTTTAGTGTGGACGAACACTTCCAGCAGTCCATAATGGTCTGAGGCAATGAAAGTTCCCTAAGCGAGAAGGCTAGATTTTGCTAAGGAGTTTGTGGATCGTCATCTATCATATCGCAGAAGCATTTACAATGCAGGCGTGGTGATAATGATATTACCTTAGCCGCGTTGTAGCATTCTGTAGGTCAAACTGCCAATTGGGAGTGGGGTAGTTTTGTCCAATTTGCAAAAAAAATGTTCAGATACGTAAAAATCAAAATCGTCTCAGACTGTCTCGGGACGACGCTAACCAGCAATCCAGTTACTTCCAAACCTATCAGATGGTTCCTAGGCATCTATCCCGTATTGATCACGACCCACACGACACCGAATTACATTCCTCTCCAATTTCGAGGTAATTCGTCATTTACTACACAGTCACGAATTAATTTTGAAAAAACAGACGTCGAGGTTGTGTAATGACTGCGTTGACAAAGCTAACTTTGACAAAATTAGAAACCCGTCTTTCTGAAGGGGCAAATGATTTACCGTGCATAGATACTGCCATTAATCAGTCAAATTGCGCAAGTGGTAAATAGGCCTACACCTGGACTGTCCCGTTTTGAGATCCCACCAAACAACCCGGATCTCGATGTGACCAGAAATTTTTCCTAGCCTTAAAGGACACAATTTGCGTGCACACAAAATTGCCATTTTTGCCGAATAACTTGACGCGGAAACAGGCGAAACGCACACTTTCTAGTTTACCGGGCGTATTTTGTTCAAATCAACTGTGCGTCTTCGATCAAGTTTGATTGGTTTTCAAAGGAGGGTTAACGCTGATGATTGGGTCGTGCGAGACGGAAATTGGTCTCGCACAATTTGCTTCGCCTAAAATGAAGATTTATTGCCTCGCATTTGTCTACAACTGCCTCTACGCCGTCAAAGACGCCTGAAATGGTGCCGTTGCTGCATCTAGCAGTCAACGTTAAGTGGACCAGTGACTACGAAAATCGATTTTGGTAAGTAAGGAAGCCAGTCGTGCCTCAGAGGGTTGTGATAAACGCCTTCTTCTTACAGTATTCGAGATGATAGATTGAACTTAAGGTTTAAACATCGCTAGTGACGTCAACTAATTTCGTTCATGTTGGATAAGTTATCATTGGTTTCGATTAGTTTTCAACCTCAGGAGTGGCGCTCGATGTTTGGAGGCAGCCAAGTGCTTCGTCAAATGTTATTTACAGACAGGATATTCAGGTTTCTGCATCGACTGCTTGTCGAAACGCTTCCAACTAATCCCTGACAAACTTCCAGTTCTACAGGTCTCAAAGACGAATGAAAATAGCATAAATTGTTCCCTGAAGGTAAGCAAAACTTTGACGCGACTACTTTGAAACCTTTGCATTATTGTGATGAAGCCAACTTCCATGCAATAACAAAGTGAACAAGTAGCATGTGCGCATTTCCAGTGAAAGAAAACGCATGTGCTTTAACCGAATATGAAGAAGCCTTACTAGTCGTGAACATACTCAGCGTGTCGCAAATAACTGCCTGTGGGGACCGTTTTTCGTCTTCCAGGAAAACGCGACCGACGACAAATATCTGGAGATGACTCACAGCTGGCTACTTGATGGAATTGGAGCGAAAGAACGTGTCCGGTTCCTAGTTCAACAATACGGGACTCGACAACACTGACAACTCACAATCCAAGCACATTCCAACGAATAACTTTAAGGAAGGTGAATTGGACGTGCTGTTCATCATGCTCACTTGACTAGGCAGATGTGATTTTTTTTTGAAGGCATGTGTAAAAGCACTGGCTTATGTGATTCTACTTCCTTCAAATGAAGAAGAAGAAGAACAACAGACAAGAGGAAAACCGAGGCTCTGAAGAATGTCACACAAGAACTCAACTACCGTCTTGGTGTGTGCTTTGGCATTAGGAACAACGACGGTACACATTTTAAACTTTTTACCTTACTCAATTACTTGGAACTCTGAAAAATATATCTTCGTGTGTTTTCTTTACTAGATATTCACTCTGAATGAGCATCGCTAGTGCTTTCCTTATTGGTCGTTTCCACGGGGTGAGAACGTTGAAGCATTTGAGAAACGGCTTGTCCAAACAGATTGGTGCCCGTGACTCATCCTTGCGTTTTATTGGTCCCCACGTTCAGCCAATCATTTAGACGTACATGTACTCTATAAATACCCCATGTCTAGCGAGTGAAACACGGCTGGTGTCTTCTGCGTCTGAGCTATCCTCTCAAAACTGGCTCTGAAAATGTGACTGTGACGCGAAGAAAGCTCTGGCGAAGATAACCACACTAGTTTACTAGCGATCAGATTCCTTTCAGTCCCTCTTAACCGATGCGTACGTTCAGGCAGTTGTCGCAGTCGAGCTATAAACCGTCGATGGTGTGGTGCAGACGGTATCATATTTTTCGGCCGCGTCCAGTGATACCCAAAAGCGTTACAGCACCTTCTGCTGGGAGCTTCTAGCAATCTACCTGGCTGTCAAGCATTTCAGAAGTCTCCTCGAAGGCCGGCAATCTACGATCGACACCGGCCACAAACCGCCAACATTTTCCACTGCTAAGGTTCCGATAGATTATGTCCATTTTTTAACCGACATTTGTTGCATCAAGGGTGCGGACAATGCTATTGCCAATGAATTCTCACGTATGCACATCGATGTTCTAGAATACTGTCGTCGCTCATCAATCCGATGGTTGAATTCCTCGGCCTATATCCACACGCACCGTTACCTGCGACATTTCAACAATTGTGCAACGTTCCATCATTCCTAAGCCGATACGCCACTAGGTCATTCAAGATCGGTCTCGTCTTGGCCAACGAACAACATGAAGACTGCTGTGAGATGCAACGTGTGGTAGGCTACACGTCGATGTTGGTTAAACCTTTACGCACTCGAGAAGTTTCCAGTGCTTTTTAACGTGGGTTGACCATTTCACTCGATGGCAAGAAGCATTTCTACGAAAACCTTCCTGAACAAGTGGGCCGCCTTATTTGTGGTCCCCTCCACCATCAACCTTGTTCCAAAATCTCACACGACTTCTGGGGACGAACCGAATTCGAACGAACGCCTACCACCGTCAATCAAGTCGCATGGTAGAACGTCTTCACTGACAATCCCTTTAACAGCTCACAGTAACTCGTCGCGTTGGACGGACGTGTTACCTCTTGTGCTACTTGGCCTTAGATCAACCGTAGGTTAAAAATTTTGTTGTCCCTCAACGGAAATGGTCTTCAGGACAATGTTGAGACCGTGTAGGCAATTACTCTCCTCAACATCCCAACCGTCATGGTCGAATCCATGCAACTACATCGGTTATTTATGGAGGACAATGAGCAAGCTGAGATCTAATCAACAGTGTTCACCTTTCACGATTTCCTACACCTTTCGGAGTACTCAGACGAAGGAGAAGACGTCTCAAGCCAACATTCCTCGATACGTCAAACAACTGACCCAATGGCAGACAACGCCCACCCAAGCAGACAGTCACTGCTACTCGCTACGGTAGACGCGTACATCGAACAAAACGGTACTACTCTTGAACAGAAACAGCCGATGGTTTCAGCCGTCCGGACCGGCCTTTGAGTTTGTGGCCGTCGATTTTTTCACGGAAAACAAACCTCTTTACCAAGCGTGAGTGGACACGAAATTAATTCGTTGATTTTGGACGAACTTCACGCAATGATGTTTATTCAGAGATCGGCATATCATGCATTCCTCAACAAGGTGACGCTTATTTTACACTGAATGTCAGCATTTTAAGCTATTTACTTAACGGCCGAACATCGTTATTTAATAACTTTTCTTTTTGGCACATTATTCGTTACCTTGCCCAACAGTTCAAGCAACTACCGTCGAGAAATTGTGAGAAAGATGGGTTGGACGCATCGCTGATGTCGACAACACGCTACTGAAAAGGCCATCAAACTCACATTACCCGGCACTGTGTGATTTGTCACGGAAGGTGTATGTGAAAAAACTGGTCTACGTAACCTCGATTCCTTCAAATGAAAATAAGAAGGAGAGGAGCTACGAGGTACTGAAGACCGTTACAATGCGGCATGCACCATGTTGTTATTGATTTACAGCCATTTTATTTTACTGGTTGAGCTCAGACGGCGCGGGCGGCCATTTTAAATAGTCAATTTTCAAGAAATGACTACACGGTGAGCTGATTCCTTATTATAATTATGTCAAATGTTATATTTTACATGGCTGAAGTCGTCTAGTGTTTAGCATTTAAAGAACACAGGTCAACTTCAAAAACGATTACAATTGAATTCCAGAATATGCTATTGATGTTTATTAAGGCGGCAAAGCCAAATTTTGTTAAACTTAGTTTGCAACACATATTGATAGGGTCTCTTAGCGGCTTTCTTATATTTTGTCGGGCTACACTGATTGGATTTCCGTTTGTTTGACTGGTCTGGTGCTCAAGGTTGGTGTAATTTTGAACGCTGTTCACTTGGTGATCGACGCTTTTCGCCAGATCGATCAAGTGTGCTGCGCTTTCAATTCCACTCTCTGTGTGCCTAGAGTTAACTGGTGGTTAACGTCCCCAGGCTTTTAAACTATTCAACAATTTAGAGACTGGTCAGAATCTGGTACTCACCGATCTGCCCTTACTGTCTGTAGGAAAATTATCTTGGAAACAGGTCCTGCCTAACTGACTGTTACCAAATGTAAACCATGGCATAAAGGACCCATATAAGTAGCCTGTGATTTAAAAAAAATATCGTCGTAATTTTCCTTGAGACAAGGAAATTTAAATGTAGACTCTTACAGGTCAACAAATGAGACACATGAATTAGGATGATGCCTGGCTCTTAAGTAGGTGACGCGTTCCAAGAGAGATTCAAGCAGTCAAGTTAGTTTATGTAGAAATTAGTTTTACACAGGACACTTAATAACTTTGTGTTATTGCATTTTTGCAAGTTTGTTTGGAACAAGTGGGCATTTCCAGATGGTTTCTTACAAGAGTGCTTTTAATTAAGATGAAGTAACCTCGAAATTGCAAAATGTTAAAAAATATTACCGGGACTATTTGTGTTTTATCGATATCGTCTTCTTGTGTAGCAGCATTAGTACACGAGAACCGCGTAATCAAAATGCTATGCATCATCGCCCTAATCCAATATCCCTTCATTTTTAGAAATTTGGCCTAGCTGAAACACTGAGATGACCTCAGACAATTGACACTGCTATTAATATCAAATTTTTTAATTCACCATGCATTACTTACTAATGTACCGGCAGGCAGTTAGATAATAGAAAAAAAATCAGATTTAAGAGAAATCGGTCAAGAAGCATGTTCGATTTTGAACTGGACAATTTTTTGATTAGCTGTGAATTTTCGTGTATCCAGCACTTCTTTTTTTGCTTCCGCTTGTTAATTTTATACAAAATAATCATCTGAACGGCGATATTTCCGTTTGGATCATGCGGGTGGAGGAAAGGGATGTTAAATTCACCTTGAAATAGTCGGAGTTCTTTCTTGAGTCCTTTCCAGAGTACCCTTTTTCTTGAGTGACCTTTAAGAATTCATCTTGTGGTTTCAGGCATTTGCTAAAGTGCATAAGATGCAGCTTGACACGGATTTTGTTGGGCGGGGTTGCTGGGGTCAGATTGAGACACTTTGGAGTGTTCAGTCAATTCTTCTCCTGAAGAAGACGTCAAAGTTCTTAAACAACTTCAATCTTGTTTGTTGAGAATTTTCATTCATTGAAATGCAGTCCACGTGATCTTTACGTTCTATTACTGGTTCGTGATTATCTTTGAGCGCCAGCTGAGATGGGTGGCGGCATCGTTACAGGAACCCCAATGGCCGGAACTTATTGACAGGACTCCTTCACACCCTGGTTTTGATCTAAGATGCATTGTGGGCCTCAGCATGTGGTCTTGAACCAAGCCGGGGCCACGAAGTTAACCCTGACCCGTTTACGTTTCCCTAATACCCCGATGAAGAAAAAGATCGGAGAGGACGTGGACACCCGTTTACATCAGAGCTCAAACACGTTGGTGCAGTTGTGTCCCATGTGGGGTTTGCGCGTGTGCATTTATACCTCAGATGTGTGGGTCATACATATGTTAACATCGAGACCTAGGTGTGAGGTAAATCCAGGATAAATGCTCGTGCGAATGAGGGTGAGTTGAGGATCAACGCGGCTGGCGACATGTTGCGAAAAGGGGAACCCTGTGTCGGAGGGTGGAAGGACCGGACTAAGGCGTGTGTATGAACACGATTCACAACAGATGCTTGTGTTGGCAGAAGCTCCAGAAATGGCAAAAGGAGTTGTTAGGCGATAGGGCACAGATTCTGAACCAGCCTTATTCGTTTGAAAACCATCCACAGCAGGATCATGATGGGAGGAAAGATTGTGGTCGTTTCGCGAACAGCAAACGTATTTATTAACATGAATATCCGCTATTTCTGATTCAGATGAGGGATTACCATTGAGTGCTGTCCTCAACATCTGTGAATGATGCAGCTGCACGATGTCCAGCAAACCTGAGCGTCATAATTAGCCTTCAAACAGCGGTGACAAAGATTTAGCTCTTGAACTAACGAAAAAACTTTCCTTCACGTTATTGGAAAGGTACGTAGTGCATCTGTCTGTGAAGTGACCTGTTCCGCAAAAGGGACAGCGAGGTAAAACAGAATAATCAGGTCAGTACCGGTGTTCCTTACGCACACCTTTTCTTGACGACGCACGCTTGCTCCAAACCTGTAACTGGCGATGTCAGCCCGTTATACAACCAATGTTAGTAAATCGTTGGAACAAAGTTTATCTTCTTGCGTCTGTATTCTGCTAGCTATCTTGGCTCATTTTTGCTGCAGTTGAATCGAAGGTCTCAACACGATTGGCTCGAGATTTCTGTAAAAATTCAGTATGAAATAGTAATATAACTAAGTTAAGATGACGTCACAGGCTTGCATCTGTTGACCGAGACTTGGCTATCGTCAGCTTCAATCATTTATTCTACACACAGAAGCGGAAAGGAACTATGTAAAAAGGTGTGAAATGACTTTGAATCGCCATTGAATTTCGTAATCTAAAAAATTCGGTAGTTTTATCAGATTAAACACAAGATCAAGTGAAGATCTTTCCCGACATTATTCATTTTTAAGCCTTGCTCCTTGCAACATTTCTGGTCCTGGGCGTCTTTCAACTTCTAACAGACGTAACCAGGCGAGTTCCGATTCCGAACGAGGATGTTGAAACACTGAAATCTTAGGTGAATCGTGCGGCGTCCATGGCATCCCCACTCACTGTAGAGCGGATAATTTTGCATAAAACGACATCATTAGCAACATTGGATGCACGTGCCGAAGTCAAGGAACAGCAAAATCAATCCGTAGTATTTATCCACAATTTGAAGACATTGAGTAGTATTACAACTAGACCAGTGTAGTAAAACAATGGATAATGTGGTAAGTACATGGTGCATGTTACAGTTGGTTTAACCTGAATGTTTGAAGTCAAAGCAAGCTTGAACCTAAACTTTAGAAGCACAAAAAATTGTTCATGCAAAACGCTCATGATGATTGCAATATATACTGACTTGCGTGCAGCATCAAATTGAAAATTTCATTTTTAATGTGTAGATTTAAATAAACATGGTCAGCAAACATGCAAATATGGACAATAGGATATGCCGAACAGGTGATTGAACGGATTTAAGCCAAAAGTTTAAAAAAGACGTTATCACGTTATATAGGAAACACTGGTGTACACTTTTGATTTGAATGACATTAACGACTTTCACTTCAAATTTGCTTTAGGAGTTGAATAATTCAGAAGTATCGGTAACGACGATTTTGCTTTAAAGAAAACAAAATCCACACCTTTTCAAAAGTGGATGAAATACTGAGCTGAAATATCGGACATAAATCAAAACCTAAAAAAAAGATGGCAAGCTAGAATTTTTTCTAATTGACCAAATAATATAAATACACTTTCATGAAGCCCTGCATCATTTGAAGCAGGTCCTCAGTTTGTACCATATTATTTGTAGCCATTAAAATCAAATAAATGCCATTTTTTACTTTGAAAATAAGGTATGCGCAAAATTTTTAATCGTTATGACGATTTAGTGAATGGTGCCTGATCACCAAAGCTTCAAAGAAATTTAATGACAATGCTGTTCCTTACTGACCTACGCGCCTAAGACAAATGTAGTTATGCGTTGATGGCGATTTTTTGAACAATGTGTGTCAGTGGATAGCTCGTTTGCTTTTTCGCATATTTCGTTTAAACACGAATTGTAGACATGGAATTCATTGAAAGTAAATTACATAAATACTTAAATGTTTTAGTGTCGAACTCGAAGCCGGAGATTTTGCATGGCAGCTATACGGTACGTATGTAAATACGCTCATGTTAACGCCTCATGTAATTGTGTAGTCCAACATAGCCAAAATCATATTAATGATTGAATAAGGTAAATTATTTGACTACTTTCTCAAGATTCTGTACTCATTGTGGCCATTTTACTGTTGTTGATCTTAATTTTTGGGTATATTTGCCGACTTTGTATATGACGTACAATTTTACCTTTTTTTTTATAACTGTCACCTATTGACTTTTTTGGGTGTAGCAGACCAAATTATTTTTGCTTTATAATTGCCAAAATTCTTATTACAGGAATTCGAAGCCATATTCCTTGAGTGCTTTTTTTTTATCAAGGCATCATTCTAAGGCTGTTGGTTTGATCTTTTTCGTCCTAAAAATGTACATTTTTTTAAAAAACTGGTTGTTTTCGGCTTTGAAAAATCTACTGTATAATCAATGAAGACGTAGTTTCCTGTTATTTCGTTCCTTTTACTTCTGAAATTGCTGTTCTCATTTCTGCGGGCCACTCATTGTTGATGCCTAATTTCTAGGTAAAAGCTGGTGACTCCCTAATGAGCATTGCCGCGCGCGTCGGCACTGTGACGCCGGCTCAACTTGCACGTTTTAATCGACTGGGAATGCTTGGTGCTACCCATCCTCCTCTCTTTCCTGGTCAGAAACTGTACATACCGAATAAGGACGAAGTCAGTGCCCAGGTGAGCCTCTCTTCCCTCATTACTCAGTCTGTTCTACATTGATTTTTCATTTTCCGCTAAGCTTTCACATTTTAGTCCACTTTTTTGCTAGGAGACATCACCGTTTATTTCATCCTCTATGTATTTGAATTTTGTTCCCATGGCCTCCAATCTGATTTGTACCGTTGATCAAATGTGATTTTGCATAACTTAGACAGCTGCAACAACTAACTGGCGACTTTAGTATTTAAATCAGCAGATGATCGTGTCGAATCGTACGTTGATTCTCACTTCCACGATTGCTTACACATTGTTTGTGATCAAGACTGTTTAGCTGATGAATTCGTGTCCGCCAACGTGCGTAGTTGTACACGGAAGTTGGGTATCGCGTCTGTCATGAATAAATTCAACCCACGAAACTGATTTCACCGATTCTAATGGTAACCAGTAAATGACCATGTGATCGTGTTCTGCACATTTGCCCTTAACTCGAATCAGCTTTTGAAGAATGCTCGTTTTCAGGAGCATGCACGTCTGTTGCTCTTACAGCAGGCAGTTTTGTACTAGACACGAGTCGGAACAAGGGGTATTGCCGTTAATGCGTAACTTCTCCTAGTATGCGTTCGAAGTTGTCTTGGTGACCCTGTAGAATAGTTTTGATCCGCTAGGCTCGGACGTAAATGTAAGCAATTTATTGCAACATGATGCTATCTATGGGTGCTGGAAACGAGGGTGAAAGTGTGGTCGGTGTTTGAATAACTCGCGTTGCAAGTTTTGACCTTCGTTACCCCCAAATTGCGTCACTAGTTCCTAAAATGTGTCTCCTCATTCAACCATCAGCCCAGCCTAATACGTAATGTACAAAGACGAATCAGCCTCCTGATATAAAAAGTTCTCCTGGTGTAAAAACCGATGCGAAAACCCCACCAAATTGTTTACAAGTATGGTAGTTGTGTGCGGTTTGAGGTATCGGCGATCAGGTTTCCAACAAACCCTTAAATTTGCATCAACGCAACTGTTCAAGCACAAGTTCTTTTCCTTCCGCGAGTCCTATGGCTGATTTACGAATCTTAATAGCACCGAAGCTAGCGGAAAGGCCTCAACAAACGTTTTCTCGCCTTGTACTACCACAACCTGTAGGTCTAGTGCACCGTTGTCTGCGTTTTGGTTCATTAGAAAATTGGATTGCCTTGCCTATCACCCAATGAAACCTCGAGGAACTCTGAGTTAACTTATTCAGTTATTTAATTTAATGTTCTTGAACCTCGTTTGTATTGATCGGTTTGAAAATAACTAATTAGATAAAACTTTTCTGTAAAAAAACTGATCTCGTTTAATTCGATGACAGGATTTGCTGTTACTGACTTTTTTATTACTGTAAAATTTAACCGTCACGTAACCTGCATTGTCGCACCTCTCTGCGTGAATGCTCCTCTACATGTGCCGTTTCATTTCAAGCACTGGGTCACAATATGAGTCATGAACCCGCCTTTGGGGCACAATACTTCTTCCTTCTCGTCAAATCACACCTACTTTTGTGTAAATCTGATTAGCTGCAGGGTTTTAAGCCAGTGGAAACACTTGTCCAAATGTCCTACTTCGAGTCGGTTAGCCAGGCAACTCCGTGCCATCTTGATACCGTCATGGCTCTAAGATGTTCTTTGTTTACGCGCGGTGTTTTGTGGTTCTTGGGTAAATCAGTATTTTATTGGAGTCTTTCTTGTCGGCGCTAGTATTAGTTTTGCCAAATACCGCATAATCTGGCTTATTCTTGACCTCTACAGTCTCATTGACAACGCGACTATCTAGACACATCCCTTTACTCGCTAGACACCAAGGTGTCCCACTGTCATTAAGCTAAAATCAGCCAATTGAATTAATGCATAATTAGCTAGTGACCAATGAGAATAACGTTCTCGATCAGTTTGAGCCTCGGCTGCCAATACAAACAGACATGCCTCGATTCACCAAGAAAACTGATTTGGTAGTAAGCTTCTAAAGCACTTGGAACGTTATGCGTAAACCGGAGCTGTGGTCTCGTTCCAAATCGCCAAATGTTTGCTAGTGACTTATGAATCAGCACGCCGGTTTTTACTCATGTTTTGCGCACAAAACTGACCCATATCTTTGTAATACTGTCTAGGTGCGTATCTTACTTCCTCACAGCCATTTTTCCTACAAAAACAAAGGTTTTACATCATTCAAAGCCAAGCAAACAGTCGAATAGTCAATTAAGCTTGTTATAAATAATTTGAAAGGAAAAATATGGCACCACTTGGAGGTTTTCTCTATGTATGAGAGCGTATCTATTTATATAATTGAATTTCGAATCGAGACGCAATGAATTGATGTGATTTCACGGTCTCAGAAGAATCATAGCGGGGGAGGGATTTGCCAGTTTCGCGGTCACGTGACCCAACTTCAAATGCGAGACGTGGTGTGACTTTTGTGGTAGTGGTAGTCAATTGGTTAGCTGCAAGTTTTGCGGAGTTTTAACGCGGCGCTCGTCTCTGCCTCCTAGAATGTCCGTCTGCGCCACCTGCCCGGGACGGCAACTCGCGTTCACTGCCTATCCACCGGGTCGACGGATCTCGCCTCACCCACCGGCAGATCAGACCCCCTCAAAATCGGGTCTGTCTCGTCGTCCAGGGCTTCAACCGTACCTTCCACGTCTCAACCGAGCGGCCGCGAGGCTGTCATGGAGAAGTTGTTCGTCAAGATCGACGCCAAACGCGTGCTTCAGCCTTCAAAGGTAGACCGTTTCTCCTGCTTTAGATCATGTTGGTTGGCGTCGTGTGGAACCAGTCGTTACAAACCAACCAGGTCTTGGTGCCACTGTCGCCAGTTGGATTTGTAGCCTTGTACGACACTCACACAATCCGCGGGGTTGTGTGTGAGTTGTGAAATGCCAGCTAGTCGAGGTCAGCACAAAGCTCGTGTTCGCCAACATGACCTGTTCTATTTCTGTGTCAGCACACATGCATGTGTAATGCTTGCGTGTGTGTGTGTGAGTGTGTGTGAACCAGCTTTTTGCCACACATGAAATTCTCTTGACCCTGCGAGACGGCCACGCTGGCGAAAATGATGTCTTAATGTGTGTAAATGCCGACGAAACAATGGATTAGCGGATGGTTTTTGTGTTGCTGTTGACAACGGCGCTGAAAGCGATGAACGGCAAGTATTTTTCTAGAGTCCTGTGATTGACGTGTGTTTTGGTGTGTGAATAATCAACTCGTAGAATTGACCAAAGACACCATGCAATACCCCAGCAAGGATGTGGAGAGAGTGTTTTCTACCTAAAGATTGTAAAAGTAGGCGAATTTGAGGTAACAGCACAGGCCGTGCGTTTATTTAAAGAACTAAGCTGGTGGTCGCATTTTGCACAAATGAACCTTCCTTCTTTGGTGGCTGTGGCGACCTACCACACGAAGGCTTCCCGCCATCCGGAAGCAATTTCTACTTGAACGCAGCAAGAGGTTGCAAGAGTGGCAGGAAGTTGTTAAGTCAAACAGTTTTTTTCCATTCTCACCGCTAGACTGATCTTTACAGAAATTTCAAGCCATCCTTCCTGAATCCTGCTGTCCGCAAACATCTTGACGCCTTCAACACGCGTTCCAAAGCTAGAATGCGCTTTCACCCGATGGCCTTTTGCCACTCGTCTAGCAGCTTCATGATTTCGCACGCGTAGAACCTACGTCCCTTATCAACAAGTGTGGTTTCGAGTCACTAGTATTCTTGAGCGTTACGCTTCTGTTGTGGAAGCCAAATATCGACCGTCTAGATTAGTCCAAGACACTTTGGGGTATTCTAAACTGTTGTGGTATGTGACATATTTACTAATTTCCCTCTCTAATCTCTCGCACAATTACGTCACGCTGATTGGATCGCATTGTGACCTTGATTAAGTCACCATCTGCCTTAGTAGGTCGACTAGACCATTGGGTGTCAATACTGGCGCGTGTGTGGTGTTTGGCAAATTGCCTTGAAACTGTTTGTTTTCATGCGCCACACGTTAAGATTTTTCCCAGGCTAGCGGTCGCAAACAGAGAACGAAGACGAACAAATCACGGTATGGCCAGAAGTGCATCAAAACAGACATGGCGCCATATATCTATGATAACCGAATTTGTCAGCTGCAAACCCGTTGGACTCCGCGTCACTTCGCACCATCCCATTTGCGCTTTTTTTGGAAGAACCGTTGGTCCCTTAGTCGACACAGAATGATTCGCGAATACGTCGGTCAATCGCGGTCCAGTCCAAACCCCTCAAATGCCCATCGCAGTGGTGTTGCTGCCTTCTGCAATCTGGTTATTCGCAGCCTTCCAAAACCGTCGTCTTTTTGCTTCGAATACCGACTATCTGCCGAACGTGTTCAACTTCATTTTCAGCAGTTTTTGCGTTAGTCTCTACCTAACCAAGTCAAAAATTCTATCTGTGTGATATTGTTCTATGTGGAAGTACTATAAAGTACAGAAGCTTCATTCACATTGATTTTTGCATTTCGGAGTCTCTGTGTGCGTTTGCTGCATCTTGCGTTTATACCTATGATTGTCAACCTTGGAAACGCCCAGTAACATTTTTCATGGGAAAGCGATTCTGGTACCGAGGGTTGTGTTTGCGCATATTGGCGCGTAAAACGATTCAGCCCACTAAAAAACAAACTGCACCAGTCATTTGGCCATTTGTGCTTCCATAACCTCCCACAGCTATTCCGAGTGCGTTTGATGTAAAGATCATTTTCAGTTCAGTTGGGTGGTAAACACTAATGCGACGTGCTGTGCTTTTCGACGTGTCTCTGGTACTCGTGGAAAGTGGATTTTCGCCATTTCTGAAATCCCAGGACTGCAGACGAGGTCTTCTGCTACGTCGTGATCCGTCCAAGCCATAATTAATTAACCCCGGCTCTTTCTGTGGCAGGCGGTATTTGCTGTTCTGACGTAGCGTTCCACCAGACCCCGGGGGTCCGTCGTTGGTGAACTGGCACGGCTTTTGTACTATGCGCTCATTTACACTCAGCCACCCTAGCGTTTAAACGCAACGCTCTTTTGATTGTTTGTCCCGACCTTGAAAACGCACGCGAAGGACGCGCCTACCGATCTGGCTTTGCCGGGATTGGTTGAGTTCATCCGATTGTTAGGCGTTGTTTTTTCGTTAACTCACATGAAGCTCTGGCTTGCATTGGCTGTAGTTTTGTGTGTGTGTGTGTGTAAGTAATCCATGCCTGAGGCGGCGCTCGCATGAATGACGACTTTCTCTTGCATGACACTGAAGTGCCAAGTCGATGGCGTGCTCATCATCACCCCAGACGCCGTCTGCTTCGACGCCACGGCGACGGCCAGCGCGTTGACGAGGGCAACAGCTGCCAGAAGAAGCATCCACCCGCACTCTCCCGCCAACGACTCGTCACGGGGTGACGAAATCGGGGAGGCCGGCTCACCGCGCGTCCACTCGCCTGCCCCCGAGCCCGTCCTGGAAGCGGCGGACCCTGTCCACGACGTGCTCGCCCTCTCCGTGTGCATCCCCATTGGAGCCGTCGTCTCGCTCAACACCCACGGGGACGTGAATAATCTCCTTTCTGGTTGGTAGGTTGGACTTTGTGATAATTACACTTGGTGTGTTTTAACACACATGTTCGCGGCTCACTTTATCCGTGGCTTTCGCGTGTGATTAGATTTCTTTAACAGGTGTTTTCTGAAAACTCCGCTTACTTTAAAGCTCATGCAGGTTACTTTCGATCCATTAACAACCTCGATATGTTCTAGCAATTCTCTTTTAGCTGACATTGTCGTCGTCTTGCCTTTTTTTGGATGGTTCAAATTTTGACTGATTCGCATCAATTTAGCGGAATTCGATGGATGACCCAGACACACGCACACACACACATAGAGACGATCGCGACCTTTGACTATCAAAATCAGTACGCCTGCGTATGTGTGCCTTAGGCGATCTTGTCATCCAATGAAACAGCTCGCTCTCATTGTGAATCAGCCAATGGGATGATTGCGTGGCAGACTCAGTCAATTATAAATCCTTTTTTCGCGAAATGTGCAGACTTTGGGGGGATTTTTAATTTCTCCACAGGCTGTGTCGTCAAATTTGGTGACAGCACAAGCGTGAGTCTGCTGACCCCTCTTACCCAAGGGCGCATCCGGCTGACTTTTAACTAGTGCGATCCTCAGTGTTCAGCCAATCACCTTGCAAGTCACGGAGATAACCCTTGCTCCTTATTGGCTGGCGATGAAGCAGTGCAAAAGTGTAAAATAAGACCTGGTCATGGAGCAATCGCTGTGATTTGTAGCGAGAACAACTGTGCACTTGTGACTGGTAGACCAGTGCCCAAGATTAATGCGTTTGTTGACTCATTTCCACATAGTAACGGGTGTGTTCAGTTGCTTCGAAATTGTGAAACCTAGCGGATGCTAGACTGATTTCTTGTAATTATTGTTCGACTCCCACTAAGCTTGGGTGCATTTGGGTTGTCTAATTTCGCGCCACTCCGAAATTGTTGTAGGTATCACAGATTTCTATAAACTTGGTCTTTTTTGCATTTTTCGGCCGCTTATTTAAATGCTCTTTAAAAATGCGCACACATTTTTAAAAAAAAGATTTGTCACAGGAGGTGGCCACACACACGATCTCAGGGCAATCTTGCCTCCTACGCGTTCGCGGTGGATTGGACTCTTGTTTATTGTTTTTTGTCCAAATTTTGGACTTGGACCATTTGTTATTCCCTGATTTTCATGGCCTGTCTGTCATCATCTCTCGTCTTCTTGTTCGCTGGAAATGACGGCTTGTAAGGGCGTAGATAACTACACCCTGGTTGCCTCTTTCTCTTTGAGTTTTAATTGGGTTTGGCGGTAGTCCTGCTGGACCTAAAAATCAACTCAGTCTTTAGACGTTCAGCCGGAATCTAGTCTTCAGGCGCCAACTTCGATGCCTCTGCACTGCAACTGACATTAGACAAATTTCTCCTCACCCGTCGACAGAATCGGTCTTTCTTGGATCAGGTCATAACCGGAGATGAAACGTGGATGCACGGAAGTGAAAAAGTGAATCTACGACAAAGTCTGAATTGCCGTTTTTAATGAAAGTTTTGTAGTGTGGAGGGAGGAGATTGTAGACTATTGATCTGTTACGAACCTCTTCGGCGTGGCCAAGCAATCACGACTGGGAAGTGTTGAGAGGAGCTCAAGAAACTCCATGTTGGAATTGAGAGGACATTTGCTCTTTGAATTTGTGCTCGATCTCCCTGCATAATTTTGTGTCCAACCGGTGCCGATTTTATCAGTGTTTTACTGTGTTTCATGTTTGAATAATAATTTAACAAAAATATTCCTTTCTCTTGTGGTGAAGAATTTAATTCATTTGTGAAAAAAAATGCTTCAAAAGTTGTTGGCGTTTTTGTGCTAATTAGCTCGAGGTGCGTGTTTTTGCCCGAAAAGGTTCCCAAATTTTATTTGCGTGACTTACTACTGGACCAAAACGTGTTTTCGTGGTCAGCGTTGAAATGAGTTACAGTTTTTCTGGCAACTGTAACCCACACACACAAATTGAGAACGCTTGCGACCTGCGGCTAGGATACCTCGTGTTGGCTTCTACCTGTCAGGGCAGCTGAGCGCACAAAGCATGTCAGCCAATGAAGTGAGTCCGCGGTCGATACGAGAATTCAAAATAGTGTGCGTGGCAGATCCGAGGTTTGGGAGGAATGTCAACGGTCAGTCACACGTCGGGCTCTGGGGATCGCTGACTCCCGCATCATTTACACTTGGCCCACAATTTGATGCAAAGCCAAGCCCTGGTGAATTAGAAAACCAGCCACTCCGTTATTCAAAGGTCATTACATGGACCAATCGACGTCCTGTATTTCTAGGAACGTGTGCGCGCACTGGTTGAGTCTTCGAAGTCGACGCTGAACCACTTGAGCATCGAGAGATCCTCCGAAACCGATTTTGGAGCTCTTGACCGGCCTCTTCATAGTTTTCTTTTCAGTCGAGTTTTCGCGTGAACTGTTAGGATCCTGTTCATTCTACGCCAGACTGGTTCATGCGGGTGCCCGTTTATCACGTCCCCGCGTTTTTTAAACACTTTCCGCTAAAGTGGTCGCTCTTGTCTGTTCAATTCGACGGTAGGATGTGCTGCAGAACGACTCGACTTCAAAAATCGAAGCACGTCCACTTCTTTAAACCACCCGAACTGATCTCTGATTGGAGGTCACATGTTGACGCAAACGTACTTTGTTGTGAAACACACATGGCATGATCGTCACCGAGGCAAACGCTTTGATTTGATCGGAGCAGTGAAGTTTCAGAGGCTTGAAGCTGTTCTCTTGCTTTGCAGTCGTTCAAAAGCCCCCATAACCGCACCGTCGAAGGTGGATCTTCCTGATCCTGCTCAGGCGGCCGATATCCTCTCAGACAAGTCCATTCCTACATCCAAAGGTGAGTAGTCTGGAGTACTCCCTGTCCTTCCATGCTAGTAGCACTTTGTTACATCGAGATTTTAATCCTCGCGAAGGCACAGCTAGGCCAAAGTGCGAAAAGCCACGAAAACACGATTTAACTTGGGAAAAATTTAGGAATTCGGGTTGTACTGGTGACAATTGGTAAGTGCATTGGCACCATTCGTGGACGTCCACTGGTTTAGTAATAGTTGCTGGGAGCAGGTACGGCCGTGAGTGAATCACGATTGCGGTTGACCCCAATATTGAACAATTTCGACCCACTACGAGTAGCCTGGGCGTTCGATTTGCAATAATGGTGCCAGTTAATTATGCGTTTGTGCAAATGCTCATGCATAGCTCGATTCGCCATTCTTTGATACGCTGAATAGTGGGGAATTGTCCAGTCGCCGTGTTTGTGTAATTGTGTTTCGCAACTGCGCCGATTCGAGCTCAGGTGGCGCCTCCATTGCTGTTCTGCTGATTTTCCTTCTTCTTCGTGTTCTGCTGAGTGCATGCAACCTGTGCTTCGAGTTGGCTGGTGTGCTCGCTATGGGTGTGTATGTGCGCGCACTTATGTGCGTGTGTGTGTGTGAATTTGACACCTTTGACGTGGTCACGTGGTGCCTGGTTAGCATAAACCGCCGTCCTTAAGTCGGAGACGCCCTGATTTACACACACGCACACACGCATCTTGCCAATTAACACACTCGCCCGAAATATCTGTTGTGACTCGTGTTTATTTGACCCCTTAATCCGGTCGCTCCACGCCCTACACAGGGCTCCCCTTGTCGCAGCATGTCGCCAGCCGCGCGAACCCTCACATCCCCCCTCATTTGCACAAATATTTATCTTGGAGTATCCCCACACATAGGTCTCGATGTTAGCGCAGTTATGACTCACGCATCCAAGGTATAAATACACACGCGCAAACACCACACACGACACCAAAGTGGTTGAGCTCTGAAGTAAACGGTTGTGTCCACGTCCTCCCCAATCTTTTTCTTCGTCGCGGGTATCAGGGAAGCGTAATCGGGCCAGAGTTAATTCCATGGTCCCGACGTGGTTCAAGACCACATGCTGGGGCCCACAATAGACCGAGCGGAGTTGAATTTATAATGGCGTCGTGTGTGAATCATATTTATCGAAAATCGTCTATTAGCGAACAACTCAAAATTAACATTCTCTACGATGACCTTATTTTGGTTTCCTACTAGCATCTGTCTGGTTTGGTACCCAGACGCACAGATGCGATTGGAAACGCACTGGATTGTCAGAAGTGTGAAGTTGACCAATCAAACAGGTGAACTGTTGGTGTACTTGAATACCACAAGCACGACAAGTGCGCAGTTTCATTCAATTTGCCGTCATCTTGAACACCATGAAAGCAGCACTTTCTTGTCTACTGTCTGGCGTTTTGCTTTTTTTTATTGACTGGGAGTTGCCTGTTTGGTGTTAGGCGGGCTCTCGTTTTATCATTGACCTTCAGGCTAGTCCACATCGTTTCCAGAAGATCATTACACCCACACTTGAAGGATGCAGGGTTGCCTGAAATGTTGTTCTTTTTTTTTCACTTGTTTAGAGGTGCTGCGGTTTGAGTGCAGGTTCAATTTCCCGCCTCCACTCACCTATTGTCGATTTCCGTTTGCCAAGCCTAATTATGGGGGAGTGTGTGAACAATTTCAGTCCTGGCATTGGCATTAATTTCGAATTCAACCAGATGGTGGATTAAGTGGATCTTGTGTCGATACGCGAACGCGACGACAGATGGAACTCTCGGCCATCCAAACTAGTTCGTATTTTAGTTGGGGGCTTAATTTGGAGGCGGCGGGATAGATGGTGTGGATGTGGATCATGTGGTTGCACTTACTGGTGAACACGACGATCGATGAAGCTATCCGGCGTGCACATGGGACAAATTTCAATTTTTTTGAGACGGTGAGCGCATAAACCATGGCATTTTATCGCTTTTCTTGTCTTTCACGCGTAGACGAAGCCGAGGGAGTTACGCCGAGGGGGAATTCCAGCGAAGACCCAGACCAGAGGGAACGTCTTCACGAGGTGGAGGAGGAGGAGGAGGGGGAGGTCTTCATTTCAATCGGCGTCGACACCGAACGGATCCTGTCCTCTGTTCCTCCCGTCTCCGCTTCCGACCAAACCACCCTCCACGAAGCTGCCTCCAGCAGTCTTCATGTATTTAAAATTCCCCTTGACAAGTAAGGCCTCACTCACCGTCCACAGCACGCTCCCATCTGGCTTTTAACTGACACAGGCTTTAACCGGGTAGAACGTCAGACCGGGAAAGGCCACCTTAGTTGTCTACAGGTTTATTCTGGACCCTTGAATTTGATTCCAGGCAAGGAATTGGCTCTAGCACAGTCTCGGACAGTTAGTTGTTGATGGTTACTAATGCAAATAGCACAAGAGAATTCACGAAAAGACGTGCCAAGTTTGTGGTATTGGTGTCAGAATTGGTTTAAGTTATTAAAAGGATTTACAAATATCTCATGGCTACTCTAGAAAGTCGGTATTTGGATTCCACAACGACAGTGTGTGGTACTAGACATTAGTAGCACTAAAGTACCTGCACCATCATTTCGGATGTTGTAGAAACCTTTGAGAGGCACACAGACGACTTGAAATCACACTTGCTTTGCGTGCGAAGTCATTTGGCCCCTTGTCTGATTGAAGTGGCCTTTTTAAATTATTCTACAAAAAGTGAAATGGTTTCGCGTTTCACAATTAATGTTAGGAATTTCCCGTCCAGGTTCATATCATTGTTTTTGAGTGGCATAAAGCCAAAAAACACAAAATCATTTTCCCCTGCCAAACATCGATTCGATGCCCTTTTTGTTTCGAAGATGTTGTGCGCACAATTGACTTGCCTTTCTGGCCTTTAAAAACTGTGAATCCGCTCGCGTTCCAGTCTGAATTTGCTATTCGCTGTAGTGCTCTTCGCACAAACCCCAAACATGCTCCAGATCCCCCTCTCAGCACCACAGTTTTGCTTCTTGGTGTGGTTCTGTTTTGTCGTTTCTGATTGGTAGGTTTAAAACGCGCCGTTTCGTATTGGAAGGCTAACCCGCATTTTAATTGGCTCTTTTTGTTACTACTAGAACATGATAATACCAATACTAATTCGCACAAAACAATTAGCTACCGCCTTCTGTTCAGTTTTTTTCTTGTTTAACCGGTTCGAGGCCAATGGATGACTTGAAGTTGTCGCCGAAATCTATTGACGCAGATTTCAGCCTATAGCTTGGTCCCAAAACTCACGAAATTCAATCACGTTCATGCCGACTGACGGTAATATCGAGATTTACGGACTGGGGTACTGTGTGGTTGTAGAGTGCTTTGGAAATGCCAACATCGAAGTGGAGTGTTTCAATTGTTGCAGCACCTACCTCTCTTGAGGTTTTTTTAACATCTGCCGCCTCTTCTTCCGCAGACTCGCCGAAATCCATGACATCCTGGTGACCGCGACCAACTTGGCTGCCAGTCAGGTGGCATCGCCGGAACAGGAGGAGAGTCGCAAGGCCCTTCTGGTGAGCAAAGATGGGATTCTCTTGTGTGATTGGCTAGGCCCAGCCCTGAGTTCTAGTGCCTTCTGGATTGTCACATGTAGTAGCGGTTCACTAGAGCCCACGAAGGCGTGAAGTACACAACATTAGGTCAATCTTCTTCACCTGGACTGCCTATTATACTCTTGTGTTACCCGTTTCACAGGACCGAAAACGCCCACCAAGTATGATCGAATCTGCTCTCGAAGAGATGGCGTGTGACTCTATCGAACTGACCCTCGTTGGCGGCACGAGCTCTATTCTGGATGAAGCGATGCTGAAAGATGTAAGTTGCTGCGCCCGGGGCTCTAGACGTTCACTAGACCTACTTCGGTATCTCCTTATTGAGGACGTAGATACGCGAATGAGACCTCAGCACGGTCGGTATGTTCGTCTGCTTTACGCTCGCTGGCTTACTTAAATACAAATCCCTGTTTACTTTTGGTCACCGGATTGCAAAAAAAATCCGGAAGAACAACTAAGGAGGCTTGAAATTTAGCAAGAAAGTAATGTCAGTTTTGTGGTGTCTAGAAAAACCGGACTTTCATTAACTACACGATCATCAGGTGTCACACGGTTAGAGTCCCACGGATATGACTTCTCAGCCAGTTACCGAAATGGGTAAACGCTTTCATTGTTTAGGTTGAACAGAATCCCTTTGCGATTTACCAATTCTGGCTGTATTGTATTGCTAATTCAGTTTCATAATTCGCAATCAGTAAATGGGTGAAATGATTGGTTGATTTCTTAGAAGCCAATCAAAATTGGCATAATGGTCTTTCGAAATGTGGTTGTTGTAAGTCCGTTTCAATGATGAAGTCTATGGAAGGACAGAGAGTAAACAGTTTATTCGAGGACTTCACCGGGTCGTCGTCGCGTGTGTCATGGGTGGGGTGTGTGAGTCATAGATGTGCTAACATCGAGACCTAGGTGTAAGGATAATCCAGGATAAATGTGCTAATGAGGGAAAGTTGAGGATCCGCGTGGCTGGCGACGTCCTTGGAGAAGGGGAACCCTGTGTCGGAGGCTGAGGGGATTGGATTAGCGTGTGAACCAACGCTATTCACAACACAAACCTGGCCCGTGTTAAGAGCATTTCTGTGAATCCATACTGAATCGAAATATCAAGGTTTTTTATTAGGTGTATGATTTAGTGTAAAACAGATAATAGCGAATTTAATCACGGAACTACCGTCCATAGTTTCCTGTGACCCTGCGCCATGTCTCAGGTAACGTACGAATACCGTCGCGAAAGAAACTTGTAAGCTTCGAGGCAATCAATCATCATCGACGACGATTTTACGCACATCGTCTCTAGCTTTGTGAACTGTTTATACACACAGGCGTGCTGCATTGACCCAAACAAATGGTGGTCTTATGGGACCAAGTCTGGTGAATATGCCCCGTGTGGGAGAACTCCCTAACCTCAATCCAAGAGGGTCCTCTGAGTCGCGCAACAAACGTGAGGTGGTGGTCAAGCGTTGTCATGAAGCAGCAGTATGACTCACCTGCTTTCTTGAACAGTAGATGGCCTTTTCTGATCAAGTTCTTCGCTTAGGTTCTTCAATTGTAGGCTTTAGCGTTCCGCAGTCACCGTCTGGTGACCAGTTTCCAAGATTTCGTAATAAAGTACACGCTTCATATCCCACCACATACACGGGAGAACGCTAGTCAAGTGTTTAGTTGACACATGTGGGGAGACCCAACTTCCAGGTTTTTGAATTTTTCCCATTTAGAAGTGCAAGCGCTTGGAAATGGCTGTTTTGGTGACTCCTAACTGAGTCAGAAGCCCTTGTTGTGTTTACGTTGAGTCTTGATGCAGTAGAGCTTGCGATTGCGCGCTTTCAAACTATCGACGCTGCTACGATCGAAATCGCCACATCTAAAACGCCTGTACCAGTAATTACACGTTTCATTGTTCGTTAGCCGCTGTTCCTCTGATTACGATTTCCAACACGAATTCACAGTGAACCCACGTCGGCCAGGGGTTTGCACCCACCCCCCCGTCCAAAATCGTCCAAGGTCATGTCTCACTGAATAATCCAAACGTCCTCTTGTAGTTGGCCAGGGGCCTGCCACCAAGTCGGCTGGGCAACACGATGAAGCTGGTATTCTCCACGGCGAGGGATGGTTTCAGCCTGAACACGCTCTACCGCAAAACCCAGTTCATCCAGGACGTGAACCTCCTCCTCATTCGCGACTACCTCGGGTCCGTGTTCGGAGCCCTGCTCTCTGAGCGCATGCACTGCAGCCAGCACTTCTACGGCACCGGAGAGAGTTGTGTTTTTCACTGGAGGAACGGTTTCAAGGTGCGTGCGTGCGTGTGTCTTGAGGACCCTTCACCTGAGGTCTGCTCTTACAGGTGACTTGTTGAGGGTCCCGGCATGTGGTCTTGAACCACGCCGGGGCCACTGCGACAATCTAGGCCGAATACGTTACCCTGTGTTCCCGCGAAAGTCAAGAAGATCGGAGTGGAGAAGGCACAACTCTTTACTAGACAGCTCTACCACGTAGGGTCGTGTTGAGTAGACTACTCGAAATACAGGCGTCCGAATTGTCACATAGATAAGGCTGGTGGTACACATAGAGGTGTTAACGAGCAGGCGCTCCCAGTGACTGACGGGCACGCCGTGAAAAGGGGGACGCGTGTGAGGCTGCGACGACCGGGGTGTTTAACGTGAATCGGCATGATTCTCTACAGACCTCTTCCGGGGTTGTGGTGACCACGAAGGGTGCTTTTCCACGTTTACACTCCAGTCTGGCCTCGTGTGGTTGCGGTCTTTTCATGTAGACGTGGGTTTAGCGCGTCGGTGACTCACGCGGGTGTTTTTCACCCGAACATGTCCAGCGCGCAGGTGGCACAAATAACTTTTTTTCACGCTCGTCGTTTGCCGACGGTGCTGTCTTTGAGTGTTTGTTGAAGGCTCTGGCATGTGGTCTTGGCCCGATTGTGCCACTCTGATGCACTGGAAGATTAAGAAGACTGAAGATGGCGGAGGCACAACCGCTGTTTTGGTGTCGCGTGTGGCTGAATGACCAGAGGAGTAAAGTGAGTACACGCACAGAGGTGGATGAGCAAACGATCTTCTAACTCCGGTAGAACCAATCAGAAATCCAGATGTTGATGGTTCGTTGAAAAAGTAAACCCATCAACACAAAACTAGAAGGCGATTTTGCTAGTGACACCAACCGCGCTATTGTCGTGTTAGAACTTGTGGTTCAAGTCACCCAAATAAACACGAATTCGCAGCCCCTAAACACAGCAATTCAAACCCATAAGACGCAACAAGAGTGTTTCCCTTAACGTTTTCACGAAAGTCGCTCCTTCTTAAACGTCATTTTTTCAGTGCTACAACTGGACAAAGAAGAACTACTTCTTCATGCAAGGCTCCCACAACAGTTTCCTAATCGGAGCTAAGAGGTCTGTGCCGCATTAATTTTTACTGCTGCCGATATATTGACCCATTTTAGTTTGCGTTAAGCTCTTTTTTGTTTTAAACAGCGGTCACAGCGCTATTTGGTTCGACGGTGACCTCAAGTACGGCCGCAGCGAAGCCACCGACACCTTCGATAACCCCGTTCTTTGCAGCATACCGACCGCTAGCAAACTCAGGATTCAGCGTGAAAAGAACAAGGCCAACTCACTTGTGCCCTCTCCCTCGACAAACTCTCTTCACGACACAACTAGCGTAGCCTTTGTTATCGACGCTCTTGAGGTGTGGGAGATGATTGCGTGACGCGTCACACGCGCACGCACACGCCCCCTGACCTCTGTACTTTAAAACGCGACATTTCTCCAGTTTGTGGTTGTAATGTGTATTGTCGCTTCTTCCCACACACACACACACACCCGCCCACCAACCACTTCCACCAAATGGCATTACCAGCTTCCGCGCTTATGTGTAATACCGCCAGTGAATGATGCGCGTCACCTGACCACACATACAATCAAGTTTGTAGAACTTTATTGTGAACAGTTCTAGTGATTTGGGATGAGCTTTGGGGAGAGCCCGGTGTGGCGCCAACTCACAATCGATATCAGTTTTGCTTGGAGAAGAATTCCAGGGTTTAGACACAGGAGGCAGCTGAAACCGATTCCTAAACACGACTTCCACGGGAGAGGCACCATTTTGAGTGCCTCCTGGAATATTCGATCGAAATAATAAAAAAACACGTTTTGATATCAGATAAAAACTCGTAGCAAGCGTCTACAAATTCTCTGCGTGCTTAGGGAAACCGTTGCCGCTTCTCGGGGGTCGATTCAGGAGGGATCTAAAACGGAAAACAGAATTTGAGATAACCTTAGCTTACTTTAAAACCCTGTTACGTGGTTTTCGAACACCTCTAAACTATTGAACTCCCCGAAACAATAGTGACTTAGCGACGATAAGTGGCACTTCTTCAGACGAATGTGCAGGGCGCACGAATATTATTGTCTCATGTTCATTTTAAGACTGCGGTTTGTTAACCACGACTGTAACTGATTGGTTATAATTGGAGGAAAGGAACGAATAATGAAATTTCAATGTTTGAGTATTGTAATATCATTTAGACAGGACAAAAAATTACCACAGAATTGCGCCTTGACATGGTAAAGAAAACAGTTAACAACGAATGGACAAGACATTTACCGTTAAACACTCCGGATTTTGAGCTGAGAACCACAAATGCATATTCTGACGCCATTTCGTCGTTTGCTTGGTTTTCATTCTTTTATTATGAACAAACGCCAAATAAAACAGAACAGGCAACTCGTGATATGTAAACAAACCTAATATCGACAAAAAACACCATTCATTATCTTTGGTTTGCTAGTCGTATTCACGCTTAGATGTCATCAACATAGCATGGCGGCAACACCAAACTGAAGTCAAAACTACTTAAAAGCGTTGTAAAATAATTTGTTATAATGTTTGACTCAAACCACGGAATTTGTGCTCACAGCTTGGCCAGAAGGAGTTACAGCACTGTGGTGTGGAGTCGGCTGGGGAGTGGGCAAGGCCGACACGCCGGCGATTCCTACCGGGAGAGGGGGCATGGGAAATCGATTGGCCCATTCGCTGAGTAGAAAATCCGTCCGATAAACCTGGTAGGGGTTTGTTGCAATATTGTCCTCCACGACCTTCGTGTGTCCAGGCTTGGCATTCTCCTTCTCCGGCTTAATTGTTGGGGCGTTGGGATCCTCCCATGTGTAGGAGCCATCAGAGGGATGGAAGCGTGCGTATGGAGCGAGAGTTTGGAAGGTTTTGTTCAAACCGGCGGTTATTGTATGGAGGCGCGAATTAATCAATGTGGATAGGTCTGGTGCCTGCCGCACAATCCCGTTAATCACATAGTAATAAGCAAGCGGGACCACTTCAGACGGTGAAAGTCGTTCTTGCTTGCGAATCACGAACAGCATGGGCTCCTAAAATGATGTTCATGTAACTAAAGATGGCTGGGATGTTCCTTATAGAAAAAAGCTATCAGATGCAACTTAATACTTTTGATAGAAGTCGTCTTGGTGAAAAACACCCCACAAATAAAATAAATAAACGTGATAAAATCGCAATTTTAGGGGGAATCAAAAGCAATAAACCTGCAATTAGGTGTTTTACCTGGGAGCAATACAAGTAAAATTCAATTCCACACAACGTCGTAAGTTTATCTTGACTCAGGCCTTGCATTCGAATGACTTCATTATTGCATTCACGGTCATAGAAAGGATTTGATAAATGACAAAAGTATTGGAGAATATTAGTGGAATTAAGTTGATGGGGACTAATGGCGGGATTTTCCCAATATATTTCATATGGTGAATCCGAGTCTGTTGTTGTGACCTCCATATATCACACAGGGGAGATAACAGACTATGGATCCAAAATGAACACCCCAAGCGACTCCAATTTTGTCCTCGTCTCTTTCGATTTCCGCTCAAAGAAACGTTGCTTAGCTTGAAGATACTTGATTCTAAGAACGTGTGTATAATAACCAGTAACAAATCCGACGCCAAAAGTAGTAATTATTAAAAGAGAATTGGAACTCAAACCCATAAGAACGTGGGTCCAAAGTGGAATGGGCTAACCCTCAAACAGCCCGCCAGTTATCTATCCACTCAAAAAGCAAAAAATGTGCTGGTAAGTTGCCTCTGCCGCTTCTTCATTGGGTATTTGGTTTAGACAATATTTTGACAGTTTTTATGATTTTTCTTCCATTACAAAATAACAAACGAACATCAATCTAAAGTGAGTTTGAAGGAGTAATTTGCCTACCTATTTCGACGACAATTTTTCAATGGAACCGCGTCAGTCAAAGAGTGAAATAAAACATGTTTGTAAAGTTAAGGCAGCACTACATCAACTTGAAAAATTTATTACTGGACTTGGAAATTTCTGTCACGCCTGCCCTTGAAAACTGTCTTCATGTGTTTGAAGAATATGGGTAAATCCTAAAGACATTACAGGATAAAGCTTAAAATTCTCCATAAAATATGCCGCAATGCACTGAATTTTGCAGCCTTTTAAAGCATTTTTAATGTCTTTTCTATTAAAAAGTGGATTTTTATTCACCCTTTGTTATTTAGTGGGGGTGATTCCCAACCATTGAGCAATAGTGACGGGCCAATTCAGATATTTGTTGAGACAGCCGCATTTTACTGTGTCTAAGTTTTTAGGGGTAAAACTCATATTAAATAAACTTCTTCTTAAAATAGTTGTCGCAAATGGTAAAGCCCAGTCAGAACACTAGAAATTTATTGTAAGTATTGGAATATCTCTTTTTCACTTCATAAATGAGTCATCATATCTAAAAAAATCTATGTGGAGTAATTTGGCTTCATGTTCCCAAAAAATGATCCTCCGAGATTTCAAACAAATTTCCGTCAAATGATGAATTTAAATCCTAAATTTAAATTCTGGATTTTGTTTCTTTTTGCTCCCTACAGCGTTATAAAAATACGTTGACGTTAATTTACTGCACGCCTCCCTTGCTGGAAAACATGCCAAAAAATTGAATGTCGCGTTCACTTCAATACCATCAATTTTTGGCCCTTGCTTTATTCGTGAGACACATTTGAAGGCCGTCCAGGATAATCAATTTTTATTTAAAACTCATATTCACAATGATTTTTTTTAACAGACTGCTTCCTATACTTTAATTAACCTATTAGGATTTGGCATGTTTCTGTGCGAATTCCAGTTTACGGAAATCACTGCATTTTCGCCTGGACTTTGAGGAATTGTTCAATGCCAAGCCAAACGTTGAACGGATAAAGCAAATCGGATAGCATTTTTGCTTTACCTGGGGTGATAAATGGTGTTTTCCTTGACAATCACTTTCTTGATTGCCTATGCAAGGCATTATCCTGTATCCCAAAACTTATGCAAGATTCGCAAGTACCGAAACAAAGCACCAGGTTCAGTTTGTTCTGACTATATATGGCACAATGGTTATTAATGACTAACATTGAGATTCGTAAAAACGCGAACCCTCTACATTATCGGATATAATAGTCACGATTAAAATAGACTTATAGTCAAACCGAATTCGAGTTTATGCCTAATTGTAACGATTCCTTCCTAAATCATAAAATCAAACGATGTAATTTTTAAGTAAGTTATCGTTATTGTGGCTAAAATTTATCTACTTCTGATCCATACTTTAGCAAAATTGCAATCTAGGAGGTTGTGAACGATGAAATACGCCAAATGAATTTATTTTCTTTAAACCTGTCTATCTGCCTTCGGGCGAATGCTTGTGCTCACGAATGAATTTACGAGTCTGGTAAAACACCTCGTTTCTTTAAGTGCCCCCACAAAAAGCCACTGCCAGGTGTCATTCTGTTAACCTATTTTATCGAGCCAAACACCACGCTCGCTCTCTAGATTGCCATGCTATGATGAAAATTACAGGGCAGAAAAATACTTATGCGTTTAATTATTGAACTTTTAAAAAATTTTGATTCCTTTAATTGTTTTGGACTTTAACGTTGATGACATTGTGTGCTAATTATGGATGGTGGCGTAGAATTGATAATAGTACAACCGTAGAGAACAAAATCACAGCATCATTCGAGTGTCCGATAAATTATCGTTAGTTCATTTTGGGATCCGATTCTTAAACGAGTCACGAAAGTGTTAGCAGTGTCAACGAATCGACTATTTTTTTAATAATTAACTTTGGTGAAACCAGTTGTGAGGCAAACTTAAATGTGGTCACCTGATCCGTCGTTCTCCCTTTGTGTAAATCCGCTTCTTGAGGTTGCAGCGTGTGTCCTGTACCAAGCCGGCGCCACAGATTTGAACTTGGCGCGTTTAAGCTACTCAAACACCCACAAAGACATGTAGGAGACCGGAGATGACAGACACGACCGTTCACTAGTCAGCCGAATGTAGTTATTGATCGATAGCATGGGTGAACTAGATAACTTACAAACGACTGATTGGTCAGAATGGTTCAGTGGATAGCGGGGAGCAGTATGTCGCAGACGGCAGCAACACGATCACTAGACGTGATTTAATATGATGGGTTTTATGAAGGAAGGCAATTACTTTGTCGCTACAAAACGAAAAACCTTTTTTTGCAAAATATAAACGAAATATAAAACCACAGTTCTGATTAGTTGCATGGGCTGACCCATTTGCGCAAATAACCTGATTTTAGCCCAAACATTTAATTGCATCAAAAGAATGCACATCCTGCGCCGAGTAAAACGATCTCCGTCAGTAAGTATCTAGTTCTCTGTTAAGATGAGGAAGTTCTACACAACATCTTACACGTTGATCTTCGCAGAAAATCAACTTAAGGCTCGTTGATATATTGGAGCCAATCAAGCAGCCATGAGATGCTTCTTTAGGCAAAGTTCGTCCATCTAAATTTGCAAGCAGCTTCAGCACTTTTATTCGCCCTTTTCAGTATTTAATTGCTTAATAAAGGTCAGTGAGATCATAGCCGGAAAAAAAATATTTGAACTTTCAAGAGTAATTTAACAAGGCGGATGAATACTCGACTTTTGTGGCCTGACATTTAAGTCAGATTACTCGCGTCCCTTGCTTGTCACATGATGCGCAAAATCATGCAGGTGTCATCAAATATGTCGACCACACATCCGGTTTTTCTGGCATAATTTTACTGTTCAATGATTTTAGTATAAAAATATTCAGAAGTTGGCGACTAAGTAGTGTCAGAATGCAACTTTTCCGCTTTCAATGGCTAAAATTTATCAAAGAACCAGTTTCGGAATGTAAAAACCTAGTTATTTAGCTCTGTAGTTCTGGTTTATAATATGATAATTTTTCAGTTTTGACTACTCGTAAGTTGTTGTAATTAAGTTAAAAGTGTATCCACATCTGCCCTATTTACAACCAACTTTCGGTGTAAATGTAATTTTTTTCCACTTCCGCTATTTACTGCACCAATCATGACCGCATCTACTTACTTCGCGGTAATTTGGTAGTATGAGTATTGAATTGGCAAATATTTGTCTGTGATTGGTTCAAAATTTAATATTTTTTTTAAGTACATTCATGAATTTTGTCCAATGCAATGCAGCCATGCAATTACAGCCAACTGAAATTTCGTTAATTGTGCAAGCACTTTGCTACCCTATCGTTGTCATGGTAACTTCAGTTTGTTTGAACGTAGTGGTCATATGTCGGAAGGGTTTTGAAATTGAATTTTTCGCATTCTTTTGCAATTTAGTTCAGTTATTAAATTAGCAGAATGGAGAGTGATTTTTGACGTTGTTGAAGCGAAAATGACGCAGGTTTAAATGCTTGCACTTTAGTGGGCGGTTTGTAGACGGGGTATATTTACGAGAGTGTGATTACTTTGATAAGATAGACGCACCAAAATAAGTTATACGTGTGAAGACTGAAGCAGCTTGTCGTGAATCGTGTTTATTTGACCCCTACATCCGGTCGCTCCACCTCCTACACAGGGTTCCCCTTTTCGAGGCATGTCGCCAGCCACACGAATCCTCAACTCCCCCCTCATTCACACGGATATTTATCTTGGAGTATCCCCACACCTAGATCTCGATGTTAGTGCATGTATGACTCACACATCCGAGGTATAAATGCATACGCACAAACCCCACGCACGGCACAACGACACCAACGAGGGTGAACTCTGTAGTAAACGGTTGTATCCACGTCCTCCCCAATCTTTTTCTTCATCGCGAGTATCAGGGATATGTAACCGGGCCAGGGTTAATTCTGTTGCCCCGACGTGGTTCAAGACCACATGCTGGGGCCCGCAACAAGCTCAAAGCACTGCAAAATATGCGAACGCATTATCCTTAAGCTAAAAACACTTTTTTGGGCGTATATGCGACAGGAAAATTTAAAGATGGAATCTGCCAAATTAGTGTCAAGCCCACTAAAAGTGAAAATTCGGTTTGGGCGCTCAATGTGCGACCACGAACAGTAAAACAACCGTTAACGACGCCGCTGAATCAGCAACCAAAAGGTTGCACTTGGAGAGAATGTCGAAATTGGTAAATGTTGTTAGGACATCAAGGATAAATACATCTTGATCTAGATTTGATCGTCATCTACAAAGTTGACTTCTTCATGGACTCTGGCAATCATATGAACCTAATATAAGATTGACGAAGACAAAACTGGTGTACATGGAAACCGGTAGTATCAGGAGACTTCGAAATCGGAACCAGGATATACGGAAATTATTTGCGTCTGTCTTGGTGCCACAGCAGCATTCAAGATCAGGGTAGTACAAGAAGAAGACTGTTTCTGTGACGAATGCGGCAACAATTTATTGTCAAATTTGATGACGCTAAAATTACACCCAATTTCACACGAAGCCTATTCAGATGGTGCACAAAGTG